GCATTCGCTCTTACGGTGTCCTGGCCGATTGCACGCGAAGCACCGCCCTTTGAATGGTGCACCAGCGGCATTCGCGGCGACGTCACGTATCGTGGCGCCCTCGTTCGTCCCAGGAGATCGATGTCCCCAGTTTTTGCTTCCGTAGGACCCCGGTCTCGGTCGGCGAAAATAGACAAGCTTCTCCGCCATAGAAAGAATCCCTTGCAAGTCGGTGACGCCGCGAAGCTGAATTTCCTGAGCGATGTCGTGCTTCAGGCCGCCGATGTAGCGGTCCATGCGCTCGCTCTCGTGCATGTATCCCACTTGCTCGCATAGCGCTAGATACCCGCTGGTGTAATCTTGGACGGAACCGAGTTGGTGCCAAGTGCGGGGCTTCTGTCGCGCCGCAATTTTTGCCGCGATTGGCTCAAATCGAGCGCGCAGACCTGCGCACCACGCGTCCCACGTGCGATATTGGGGCACCTCCACGAAATACGACGGCGCCCAGGGTCCGGTTTGTCCTGCCCATGTCGGTAGAGTCGCGTAGTCCATCGGCTTCATGACGATGACGCGCCACCAGTCCATGGCGGGCCCTCGCAGCAGCGACACGGCGTAGCGAATCTGCGCCGTATCCTCCGAGACGTAGTTGGCGTCGAAGAAAACGTTCAACGTGAACAACCACGCCTGAATGGTAGGACCACCCCGTTGACTCGGGTCAAAGCATGGCGGACGTTGCGGCTTCAGCGACATCGACGACGGCAGTGTTGATTCGCCGGCCGACACAGAAATCGCGACGCGATGTTGACTCCTGGCCGCATTCGTCGCTACGGGGTGTGTTGTGCCGTGGTCGTCGTCTCCGTCGTGGCGGACGACGCCATCATTGACCGCGCTCGCGGGTTGCCCCACACTTCCGTGCTGCGATGCTTGTGGTGCGAGTTGTACCGGAGTGCCAGGTGCTTGGGATCTCGCTTGTTGTGCTCGTGCGACGTCATTCTGTAGGGAAAAGCGTTCCGCCGTCAGCGCCGCAATTTCTTTCAAATTCTCGTGCATCTGGCGCAGCCGTATGTTCAGGCGGTCTTGCATGAGCGTCGTGACGTCAATATGTTCAGCCATTACGAAGGGCGTCGGCTCGGCTTAGTCTAGGCGCAGGCGTGGTTGCACGCGTTTACGAGAGAACGAGAGGACAGCGACTCCTAGGGGCTAAGGTGCGTGAGTCCCTTCGAGTGAAAAATCAAAAGTTGATTTCCTGGGGTGCGGAGATGTGCGGTCCGAAAGAAAATAGCTCTGAATACCAAATGTTACGGGTGCAATGAATTGAGGTAGCGAGGGTTGCACTAAGGTGTCAAACAAGTACAAAATGTGAGCGAAGGCATGAGCGAACATTTATACGCCAAACATGCAAAACGGTAACGCGGTGCGTGCGAGCTAGCTAGTGCTACGCTGGCAGCGAGGTTCGGGCTAGTCCCGAAGCGTAGGCCGACACGGCCGGGCCAGCAGTGCGAGGTTTGGTGAAACAGTGCGCGCGAAGTTGGCGAAGCCCCGTTAGCAGTAACGGGCGAACAACGGCTGCTGTTGTACGCGGTGTTGCCGGTCTCAGTAAGGAACGTCGAAAAAATTCCTTACAGTATCGTACAATTGTATGTGTGTACATCCATCTGGATTAGGTGTACAGTAGTATGATGTGATGAATGATGTGGGAAAAATATGCCACTCGTAATCAACAAGGGTCTCGATAATATGTTAGGTAAAAAAATAACGGGTACGGTCATTGCAAAGGGTGTTTGGTAAAACGTTTCACGGAATCAGTCACAATCAACTAGGAAAAAATAACGCGAATAGTAACAAATGAAACTCCCGCCCAAAAATATATTACCCAAAACAAACCTGGATGCATTTTCGGATGAATCACCCCTAAACACAACTCGCGATGCGTTTAGGGTTGATCCGTTCCCAAACCGCATCCGATTCCGATAGGGTTTTAGTTTTTTTAGAAGTTGGCTGATTGGTTGGGCGCGAGCGGGAATTTTGTAGAGTCTCAAGAAGTTTTGGCGGGAGTTACATGTGTGACTATTTGCGTGATTTCTTACCTGTTGTTAGTGACTGAATCCGTGACCCAACTTACCAAACCCGTCAGCAAACCCAATACAGTGACCGTACGCGTTAATTGTTTACCATTCACGTTTTCGAGTCCCATGTTGGTTACTTGTGACATATTTTCCCAATGATGGGGTCGATGCTTTACTGTGTCTGACCTTTAGCATCAAGCCATGTGGCTGTGCTTGACTGTCTTGGCTTTATAGCTTGGCGAAGAAGCTAGCGAGTCGAGAAGAGATGTACTTGTGGAGGAAATGTGGAAGAAGCTCTTTGCTGCGCTGGCGCTTGTCGTCAAAGTTTGACGATATTCGCGACCGCTTCGCACAAAGCTGCTCCACAAAGCGCGGCCCGAAGTGACTTATGGCATGACATACTATGGCCGTGGATGACATGCTTGGGCCTCCTTTGGCCCCTACACGAACGGCCAAGATTGGTCGTGTCAGGTCCAGGCGTTTTGGAACTGGAAGGCTTCATTCGGCCACGCGGTGCGCACGCGCACCACAACCGCACACGCTTTGCCCAGGGTAGGGGCAGTTGCTCGACGCACGCACACGATCTGAACTGCGGGGGCAGGAATGCAAGGGGGAAATGGGGAAAGAAGGCTTCACGCGGTGGTCCGGTCCGGAAGGGAAACCAACCAACCAGGCTGGTATGGGGCGGAGGCGGAACGGAGACCCTCCCTGCGCGGCGGAGCTTGCTTTGGGGGGAGGCTTCTCCCGATCCGAGTCCTAGCCAACTCGGCTCGAGTGAGGGAGCACCATTGTAGCGATAACGTAATGAGTTTTGTATAAATTTTTGTTCCTCACACATTTTCAGAATCAGGGTGCAGATTCCATCCTCCCACCAATTCCATCCTCCCACCAATACCGAACCATTCATTCTCCACTCAACTCTGCACCTGCGCTACCATTCATTCTTCACGCTACCTGAGCTTTCTCCGCCATGGCGTCTCGTAAGGTGCTCCTCTGCCTTGCGCTTGCACTTGCGGTGCTTGCATTGGCGGCGCCGCTCGCCTTCGGAGCTGACGCGAACGTCCTGGGTGGTGAGAAACGCACATTGTCTCAAATTTCCCGGTTACCATGGTTCACGTGCATCATCCGTCGTTTACAACACAATGCAGCTTCCCACCCGTTCGTTCGAACGAAATTTGTACTCACTGAGAACGAGCGATTTTCCGTTTTTTGCAGGCGGCAACTCGAAGCTCAAGGTGAGCCGCCGCGCGCTGTCCGACGACCACGACGACGACGGACACGACGACCACCACGACGACCATCACGACGACTCCGACGACGACCATCACGACGGCGACGACCACCACTACTACAAGTCGCCGTCCAAGTCGCCCAGCAAGTCGCACGACTCCGACGACTGGTACCACCGTTCGCCATCCAAATCCCCTTCCAAATCTCCGAGCAAGTCTCCGAGCAAGTCTCCCGGCAAGTGGCACGACTCCTCCTCCGACGACAAGTGGCACCACTCGCCGTCGCCCAAGTCACCGTCGCCCAAGTGGCCGTCTCCTAAGTCGCCGTCTGCTAAGTCGCCGTCGCCCAAGTCGCCTGGCAAGTGGAACTCGCCGAGCAAGTCGCCTGGGAGCAAGCACGACGACGACCACCCCTGGAAGTCGCCGTCCAAGTCGCCGTCCAAGTCGCCGTCTAAGTCGCCTGTGTGGGGCAAGTCGCCTGACAAGGACCACGATGATGACCACCACTGGGGCGGCAAGTCGCCGTCCAAGTCGCCGTCCAAGTCGCCGTCCAAGTCGCCGTCCAAGTCGCCCGGCAAGTACCACGACGACCACGATGACGACCACCACGACGATCAGCACGAGCGCCACTACAGCGCCGGGAAGCCCAGGTGGCAGCACAGCTAGAGCGGAAATGCGCGAGAGAATCCATAACGGTCGGTGGGCTCTGTGGCCTTAAAGTTCTGTGACTGATTTCAGTGCTTCAGGGGCGTATTAGTAGCTTCTTCGCAGAAGGAACGGTTGATTTCTGTGTGTGGGGGCTTTGGTGTGTGGGCCTCTGCTTGCTTAGCGTGCGGGATGAGGTTGTAGTGAGAACTTGTTTGAGGGAATAATATTGATATGTTTTGTTTTTTTTGTGGAACTGCTGGCCAAGGTTTGAGGGGCCTACTACAATGTGCCACAAGATGGCGATGACAGTATGGTGTGCAACGCCTGCAGTGAAGTGCCATTTCATCTCAGAGTCAACTCAACTCAACTCTCAGTGAAGCGTCACCACTTTCAGGAAACGGTACCGTTCAATACGGCACTCCTGGGACGCAAGGCTACTATCACTCGCTTGGCTTGGCGGGTCAAATTGGATGCAATCTCTCATCACTGCAGCAACTCGGCACCAAGCTTTGGTGAGACTTTGGGGGGAGGGGGAGGATGGCTAAGGCAAACCACACCAAACCAGAATGATACTTAATGCCGGCTGCTTAGCCCTTTGAGACTGCTGCTTCTACAAGGATCCTGAGAACGATAGTGCGATTTAGATCCTCCGCATAAAATCCTGGATCCTGCGTAGGAGGGACGCGTCCTAATGCTCAATTGTTGTCCTAAATGCACCTTAATTCCTCCAGCACAGAGTTGGTTGTGTACAAATGCTGCAGTTGCTGCACTCACGTCATTTACCCAAGCCTTGTGTACGGTTTCCTGTTATGTGACTGAACAACTCCACAAGAAAAGAGTGTTGACTTCAAGCCAGATTGAATATGCACTTCAAGAGTGTAACGTCCAACAGTGCCCTGTACCAGTCGATTATAGCTTGTAGAATCGCACGGAGTTTTCTGGGACCATGGATATTTGACGAGACAATGCTGGCTAGTCGTGCACGCGAACTATATTGCATGTATAAACAGACTTACAAAGGGAGAGATAGGCCGAGCTGCCAGCTCAGGCCACCTTTCCTGAACCACATGCGAGCTGCCTAGATGGCCCCAGTCAAAGCACCCTGTTGAATCATCTCCCTAATCTCGGCACTGCACGCGCGGTCCAGGGCCGTACGTCCCTCCCAGTCGGGCACGTCGCATCGCGCACCGGCGTACAGGAGCTCCTCGATCTTGCGGACGTCGCCTTCCGAGGCCGCCATCATGAGCAGAATGTCGCACGCGTGCGTGCCGGACTCGACCATCTTCGCCATCTTCTCGTACGACCCCTCGGCGGCGAGCATGCCGGAGTAGTTGAAGTACTGTTGGAGGAAAGTTTTATTTGGGAGGAAAGTACTGTTTGAGAAATAAGCAATGCGCGAATCTTGTTCATTGTTTCTGGCACCATATGGGATTCAGCCACCATGCTATTCAAGACAAAACGTGCCGGGAGAAATTAACGGAAGTCATGACAGGGAGACAACTTGGGGGAAGCACAAAAGATGGAGCTGGGATCCAACTGCGCACGTACGTGGGCAATGTCGTCAACGTCGTAGTCATCGCGAAGCTGGCTGCCGAAGATGCCGGCGCTCTTGGCGCTCTCTCCGCCGAGCTTGAAGAACGCGACAGTGCGAGCAGTAGATTTGACGCCGAATGCAGCCGTGGCTGATTGCTGGCGCACACCTGAAGATCAAGTGATTAAAGGAGACACAAAGTTCGGTTTGTGTTCCGATAAGTTTGATTGAATATCTTCAAAGAAGCCATAATGAGGGTTGCTCGGGCAAAAAGCATGCAGTCGAGCCATTCTGCAAGCTGCGTCCTGTACCTGCGAAGGAGGACGTGAGGGTCGTCCTCTGAGCTGGGTTGGATACGGCAGCGATAGCACCAGATGCAATCTTAGCAGCAGCCATGGTGGTAGCAGCCATTGTGGTAGTTATGAGGGTGGAATGGAGAAGGCCAAAGAAGCTGCTGCTAAGCCGATGGCTGTTGACAGGCGGAGCGAGTGCTTCGTTGGATTTGTGAGCTTGTAAGGTTGCTTTGAAAAATGAGAGGGATTGTGGAGGAGGTTATACACTTCCGTTGGGTGGAAAAAAGATTCGCGACTACGGCTGCGAAAGCATTTGCGAGGAACCGATCAGGCTGGCAAATTTTGCGCGATGCAGCATTCTCCATGATTGCCTCCGTAGATTGCTCGAGCCGCGGGCTTGATTGGCGAAGTGGCTGACATCCAGAATTTGCCAGCGCATAGACTTCCCGCCATCTCATTTGTTCCTGTCAGCGCTTCAGTACACGTGTGAGGCATTTTTGTCCACGTGTTCGTACGTCAGTGGGTCTCTTCGGTTCTCCTTCCAATCAGCCAGCGCTTATATCTAAGCAAAAACCTGCGCTGGCAGACGTCACGATTGCACGACCATCCAGCACCTATACAGGGTACAGAGTCAAACCAAAACCCAAAATTTACGAACAGCTCATGTACATCATACCCACAATGTTATACTACATACGGTCCTCTAATGAGTATCAAACACACTGTATGGGTATTAAAGGGTGCACGAATCATCTGACTTGACTAATTCTAAGGCGCATAGTACGGGTAATGATTGTCATTCCTTTCTTTTGAATCATTCCTACTTTATTTGGATCCACTTGTTTGCTTCATGCAAATGTTTGCTACCAAGCAGGCCAGCAAGTCAACAAGTTAGCATAAGCAAATAAGCACAGCAATGCATTACAGCATGAGTTGACCTAGTTACAAATTCAGAGTGTGAGTCAGCTTTCTGACTTTTATTTGGGTGCACGCACCACCTCTATTATCAGATTTACTCTCTTCTGTTGCCTAAGGTCTAACTAATCCCTATGCTCCTCCCTCTCCTTCTCCTCCCTCATCTTCTCCTCCCTTTCCCTGTCCTTCGCCATATCCTTCTTCTTGTTCTTCCGGAACCCCTTCAAGTTATTCCGCCACTTGCAATGGGACTGCTGCGGAGCGCACATCTCTCTCCTAGGATCCGTAAGTGTGAAATTCCACAGCTCAGGCGGCTGATTCTCCTCCATAAGCAGCTCCATCCTGTACTCGATACCAGCCTTGTCGTTATTCTTAGGAAGACAGTGCTCCTGTAGCTCCTCGGACATCGAATCGTGCAGCGTAAACCACAGCTTATGCGCACCGTGATGCACAAACCGCCGGTGCGTGTTCATAACAATGTTACAGTCGAAGTCGCGGTAACACCGCCAGGGCTTCTTGCCGAGGAAATGCAGCGCGTGTATGGTGGGCGGGTCGGACGCGATGAGCGAATCTAGAGCTTCCGTTTCAGTGTCTCGCTTGGGCCCGTCGTCCGCGTTGATGTATTTGAGAGTGTTGATGGACTTGGGCAGGCGATGCCACCAGTAAAACACGTCGTTCACGAAGCCCTGTGGCGGATAAAAGGGTGTTTCGGGTGGGAAGCACGCAGAAGAGAGATGAGCATGGAGGTCAGATCGTATGACACGAGTGCCACGAGCAAGCTCGCACAATCGTTTCCAGCATGAGGCGAGGAATGAGATTACGGAGAACAGGCACACAGAGAGCAGACACGGTCGCTACTGAATGCGTCAATACTAACCTGATCGCCGCCGTTGTATGACTGAATCAGTTCGATGTTTTCCATCATAAGCTCGAATGTACACTGGGACGGCTCGATGACCATCACGCCCGAGTTGAAGAAGCGCCGGCTGTTGCTGCGCGCCGACAGCTCGGGGTACTCGAACAGGTGGTCCATGTTTCTTAAAACGAGGATATCCGCGTCCACGAACACCACCTTAGCGTACTCCGTCAGCTGCCATAATCGGAGCTTGCTGTAACGGGGCGATGGCGGACAGCAAGGGAGAGTGGAGAGACCAGGTTTGTTCACATGCGCTAGTAGCATTGGAGCAACCAAAGGAAATGACTCCCATGTTCTTCTTGAGTCGTGCTGCCAGAAAACGAGAGGTATGACAAACAAACCGACAAGCAGATAAGCCGGTAAGTCGCACCTGTAGTTCCACTGGTTGTACGTCCCGGCGCGTCCGAACGGGTTGCGAATCCTCTCAATATCGATCAGCCGCCACCCCGCCGCCTCCAGGCCTCCGCGGCTGAAGTTCCCGATCTCCGCGGAAACCAGCGCTACCAGGTCCGCGCGCGTTCCGCTCCGCCGGAGGCTGTTCGCCAGCGCGATCGCTCCGCACACGTAGTCTTCCTTGCTGTGCAGCACTGTAGCGTACGCGACTTGGCGCGCAGTGGCCGGTTGCTGACCTGGCTGGCCTGGCAGCAGCTGGGGTTCCGGGGTGGCGAGCGCGCAGTTCCCGACGGGCTGCAGCCGGCGGCGCATGTCGGCGACCGTCAAGTTAAACAGCCAGACGGGCCCGTCGCGGTGTACAAGCCGGTTGCAATGGAAGAGGTTGGGCGGCGGGCGGCAGTCGGAGAGAACGACCACGGGCATCCAGGGGCGCGCGGACTGGGGGGGACAGGAGAGAATGGGGGACGGGGGAGCATGGGGGACGGGGGAGGAAGGTAGCGAGTGAGCGGTGCAAGAGGGCGTCGGATAAAACGATCGCGGGCATTCAAACGAGAGCGGACACGTGAGGTAGGGGGAAGGGGGAGGTGCGATGACGGTAACTTTCAAGGAGCGAGACAGGGAAGAGTGGGTGAAAGGGCGAACGGCGGTTTCGGGGACAACGAATGCGAGCATTTACTATGGGCACAAGGACAGTAGACGGCGGCTCAAACTGGAAAAGTAAGCTAGAGAGCGCCAAACTCACCTGTTTGACATATTCGGCGACTGTAAGCACCAGCTGGTGCCATCTCACGTCCCTCGCGAAGGACCCGTTGATTGGTTGGCACGGTATGTGTGCGATCATGGCGTCGACCGTGCGAAGATCCTGCGACCATTCGGGTAGAGGCAGCTTCGGGCACTGCGGCGTTGGATCGTCGTCGAACCTGTCCGCGAAAATGTCATCCCACGTTAAGTCTTTAAGAAGCGGCGGCGCGGCGAGCGGGACGAGTTGAAAGCCCGCCTGCTTAGTCTGCTTGATGATTCTTCTGTCGACGTTGAATGCCGCAACGCGCGTTATTCTAAACGCCTTCCACAGAATATGTCCTGGTTGTTGCTCCTTGAGCTCCACGTTTTCCGGCGGCGATATCGGAGGGGGGTACTGGTCTTCCCACCATTGAAGCGTTGCGAGCCCGCGTGTAAAGACGTCCACGTGGGTGGGGTTGATTGTCCTCATCATGATTGAGAGAGCGTCGTCAACAACCGTCGGATTGAGGAGGATGAGAGAGAAGAGCAGGGAAGCGACGGCGATTGCCGCCCATTGACCCATGCGATTGGGTGGCGGCTGCTGTAGCCCCTTAAATGGCTTCTGCGGATCGAGGAGCCATCGGTCGTAGGACTTGGACTTTGAGAGTTTCGCGATGCCTCGAGGAGCGTAAGGATCCTCCGGCGACTGCTCCATTATAGTGCGAGAAAGACGAGAGCTGGTAATTCGTCTGTCAATTTTGACGACTTGTATCTGCTTCTGGATGGACAGTCGTTACTACGTCAGATGGTTCCTGAGGTTTAAAATGTCGTTAGTACGTCGATACCTCTCGTAGCGAAACAATGACGCTATCAGGGAGGATGGAAGCCAGAAGCAGTAGGAGCCAAGGCAATGCAGCAACAGCGGCGTTACGAGCGCCTGTGTGATAAGCAAATCCGAATTGGCTACTGAAGGTGCTGGTGATAGTGGAAATAAGCAACAGTTTACCCAGACGCTGCCCTCACGAATACGGAACACATTGTTCGGAACAGCGCTGCGAATCACCCGAACCAAGAAGCACTAGCGAACTCTTACAGTTTGTCGTATACGGTTTAGTTCGGTTCGTAAATATTGGACACGGTCCTTGTGCGTTGCTTGCAGCACCAAATTAAACCGTGATAAATGAGAAATCACGAGCCGCTCTTGACACCCAACGAACCTCAACAAGCCCCGCACGGCCCACTCGCGTCGAATCCCGTGTGTCCTTCAAGCACCATACCTGCCGAACCGCATGTGCACGTCGGAAATCTCGCTCCGCAAGAACCGAACCAGAACGCAAAGCTCGACTCCGTTGGATGCGGAAAGCCTCTCGCGCCCCGTTGCAGGTGGTGCCAGCAACTCGAGCAGAACTCAACAATTGAAGGTTCTGATTGGTTGAAATTAGGGTAACCCGCTTGTGCTGGCACGAACTGTGCGCTCCAAGGGTGTGCTCGTCGAGCCATACCGCGCGCTCCACGAATGGCGGCATGTGTGCCATACGCGAAAAACGGCAGCTGTCTAGTCAAGAAAGCAGGTGAATCGTCGAGAATGATGGCTTGCGAGCGAAATCGCAGACCTGTTCACATGAGGAGGAGGGAAAGGTACGTGGGCGTGGTGGTTTCGTCGTGCTGGCTTTCACAGAGACGGCATAAACAATCGACCTTGTATCCATCTTAATTAGCGCGGTTCGCTTGTCTTCGCAAGAGGAGCTGTTACAGAAAAAACAAAAGGTTATGTATAAAATGATTTTACACAGCCTTGACCACACCTCACTAGAAACACTCTACATTAACATAATGGCGGTGTTCGCCAGCACATTTCTAAGCAAAAACGAGGGGATGACGGCGGGATCAGGAAGGTAAGTCTCGCCTTCCTGATCCCGTCAGTTAGGGTTCGTTAACCTCCGTCAGCCTGGTCAGCCCGTAAAAATGCTGCCGAGCCTCTTATGCCGTCCGAACCTCTTAGAAAAGTGAGGGCATGGCGAACGCCCCCAATTTTCACCCATTTCGAAATGCTTGACCGCATATGGAAACGGGGTCGCAGTTTCCTCCCCTGGCAAACACCATCCCCCTGCGATGCCATCGCCATTCACCTATCCACGGTGAATGGCGATGGCATAGCCGTGGCATTGCACGGCAGAGGGGAACTGCGGAAGGTGGGGCTGGGGGTTCCATATGCAGTTGCGAATTTTCCCGTTTTGGGAATCGAAGTTTCGCGGACCACATTACACCCAGACCTCTTGGGCGGGTTCCGCCCCCGTTTCCAGATGCGGTCACCATGCCGATGCCGTCAAAATGCCATCTATTTTCGAATGTGCTGGCGAACACCGCCAATGAATGAGAATAACCCAGCCACGAGTGACGTGTGTCACTGGAAGCCTCGTCGTCAAGGCAACCCAATTGATATTTGACATACACTTTTGATTATAAAAATGAGGCATTTGAGCACCATCCACAAGCAAATTGCAATTCATGTCAGAAGTGGCATAGCAAATACCGCTTCCCTCACCCTACCCTCCCTCTTCCAGTCCGTAGTCTTCCCCAAAGTATGTGTCGACAAGATAGCTTGACATGGAGTGTAGCTCCTCATTGCCTACAAATTGAGCTGCTTCTATCGAATCAATGCCGTCCGCCTCCTCCACCAGCCGTGGGCCTCTTTTGTCTGGTAGTACACGCAGGACCTACACAATGAGAGGAAATGACATAAATGGAGAATCAAGCACAATGATAATGAGGACAGCTGAAGAACAGGCCGTTCGTGTGTGTAGGAGAGCATGTGTACCACGCATGTGTGCGCAAATGCATGCGTGCATGTGTGTGCACATGCGTACACCTGTGAGTGCATGTGCTTGTGGCTGTATGGCCGCATGCGCATGTGTCCATGAGTTCCATGTGTGAGTGAGTGCAGGTGTGCATGCGTGAGAATCTGTCCTTACTTGTTACTCCAGCCCATACCTTAATGTCCATATTCCCTCCACATACCTACCCTCCTCCATGCACCTTACCTCTACAGCCACCTCAGCCACAGCAGCACCAGCTTCAGCAGCACAAGCCACGGCAACACCAGCCGCAGCAGGCACTCACCACCACACACCTTCCCACACCCTTACCACCACCGCCCACCATGACATATCCCTCCTCACCACTGCATATCTCGACACACCGTTCCTCACCACCGCACACCTTCCCACACCCCTTCTCACCACTTCGGTAAACTGCAGGCCGAGCCGCACAGCGTCAGCATCTGCTGAGCGGATGAGGGAGAGGAAGGGCGGCAGGCACCCCGCGTCCACTAGTGCTGCCACGCGCGACTGCTGGACCGCCATGCGGCGCTCTCCTATTGGCTCTTGCTCCGCAGGATCCACACAGAGATTCGCTGCCAAAAGATTAGATCCGGGCAGGATCACATTAAGGTGAATTTCTGACTTGAATCAAAGGTCACCTGGAGCATATGCAAGGTCTAAAACGGGTGACAGAAGAATGCCTGCAAGAGTGTTATGAGGAGACTGGAGGAAGAACCTTTGCTTGGATGGGTCAAACAGAAAATATATTACGAAGTGAGAAGGAAAACACTTGGGCAGAAAGGAGAGAGAAGACGCCACATTCGCAATGAGAAACAAAGACTGACTGCATGCACATCAGAAGAAAGGTATTCGTGAAAATTCCTCAGCATAACAAGCACAAGCACAAGCCGCAACGTCACTGACCGAGAGCAAAGGTGACTGACCGAGAGAAAAGGAGACTGGCCGAGAGCAAAGGTGACTGGCCGAGAGCAAAGGTGACTGGCCGAGAGAAAAGGTGACTGGCCGAGAGAAAAGGTGACTGACCGAGAGCAAAGGTGACTGACCGAGAGCAAAGGTGACTGACCGAGAGCAAAGGTGACTGACCGAGAGCAAAGGTGACTGGCCGAGAGCAAAGGTGACTGACCGAGAGCAAAGGTGACTGACCGAGAGCAAAGGTGACTGACCAAGAGCAAAGGTGACTGACCGAGAGCAAAGGTGACTGGCCGAGAGCAAAGGTGACTGGCCGAGAGAAAAGGAGACTGGCCGAGAGCAAAGGTGACTGGCCGAGAGCAAAGGTGACTGACCGAGAGAAAAGGTGACTGACCGAGAGCAAAGGTGACTGACCGAGAGCAAAGGTGACTGACCGAGAGTAAAGGTGACTGACCGAGAGCAAAGGTGACTGGCCGAGAGCAAAGGTGACTGACCGAGAGCAAAGGTGACTGACCAAGAGCAAAGGTGACTGACTGAGAGCAAAGGTGACTGGCCGAGAGCAAAGGTGACTGACCGAGAGCAAAGGTGACTGGCCGAGAGCAAAGGTGACTGACCGAGAGCAAAGGTGACTTCTCTCTTGATGTCAAACGGTGCTGTGCGGAGCAAGTGCACGAGCAGCTGGTATAGCCTCGACGCGACTGACCGAGAGTCAAGGGTGGACTGACTGAGAGCAAAGGGCGAGTGACTAAGGGCACATTTGACTTCTCTCTTGATGTCAAAGGGTGCCGTGCGGAGCAAATGCACGAGCAGCTCGTATATCTAGCAACCCAGCGCATGCCCCAATGCTACTGACCGAGAGCAAAGGCGACTTCTCTCTTGATGTCGAAGGGTGCCGTGCGGAGCAAATGCACGAGCAGCTCGTACATTCTCGACGCTTTGCCTGCTCCTCCCATCCCCGCTCCTCCCCCCATGGCGTCTCCACCAATCACAGCCGCCTTGTGCCAGCTGTCGCCAGCTGTCACGTTGGATACTGCCCATGCCGTCTCCTGCAGAGGAGCACACAGGGAGGATATTCAAGGGGTCTCATTTTGAAGAAGCGCAATGGGAGAATACTTGTGGCACCCGTTTGAGGGGATAAAGTACCTAAGGCGCCTCACGAAGCTGTCCCGTCGGATTTTCAAAGCCTCCTCCTGCAAGGGCGCACACGGAAGGACTTTCAAGGCGTCTTGACGAGGACGGCTCTTGAGGCGCCTCACGAATACACAGCTGTCACGTCGAACACACACACACACACACACACACACACACACACACAGCTTCGGGGGCCAAAGCTTCAGAAACACACAGCCAAAGCTGTCTCCGGAATACACGCACGCGCGCACACACACACACACAGAGGCGCCGGCGACTAAGGTTACTTTTCCATGATCCTTGCACTTTCCAGTGTGGCTTTGAGGTGTGCGTTCGTACGCGCGCTCTTCAAGCCATGGAGCTTGTTTTTCACGGCAATACACAAGTCCAGATTGCCCTTTCCGCCCCTTGCCAGTGCCACTCTGCCAGTCCAAACCAGCCGCTGCCACTGCCATACCCCTTTGCTGCTCCCCCTCCATCCCACGCCACCCCCTCTCGCTCACCTTCTTCAGCGCATGGTGTTTGTTCTCAAGGCACTCCGCCAGTACACACAACCCTGGCTCCACCGCTGCTGTTGCTGCGTCCACATGGTCGTTCGGACCAAGGGTTTAGGGTCCTCTCGCACATCATGGGAATCTGCTATGCACTCATCCACCCAACCTCCCTTGCCTTCGTCTCGGCCATCACCACACACCCTTTTGTGTGCGTGAAGGCACCATCTGGACCGAGTCCAGGTCCAGCACACGCAATTGCCTCTCGAGCTTTGCGATAACGACTGCCTGACACTCATTTCGAACTTCGAGCTTGTGCATCCTTCCCTCCATCTCCGCTCTCCACTCTCTGTCCTCCACCGAATCACCAGTGACTTATCACCTCATCCGTAGCGGTGATTGCATTGCCAGCAGGTATCTCACTGTTTGCTGCCGTGACCTTGGCGATCAACCGTCCTTCAGCGTGAGCGCAAACGTCCTGCCGTAACTTGTGTCAGTGTGCCAATGGGCTCACACCAAACCGCACACCCTTCTGAGCATCTTCAGAACGTACTTCGACCAGGGCAGGGCATGGATGCATTGGCAGGGCATGGATGCATTGGCAGGGCATGGATGCATTGGCTGGCATGGATGCATTGGCAGGGCATGGATGCATTGGCAGGGCATGGATGCATTGGCTGGCATGGATGCATTGGCAGGGCATGGATGCATTGGCAGGGCATGGATGCATTGGCTGGCATGGATGCATTGGCTGGCATGGATGCATTGGCTGGCATGGATGCATTGGCTGGCATGGATGCATTGGCAGGGCATGGATGCATTGGCTGGCATGGATGCATTGGCAGGGCATGGATGCATTGGCAGGGCATGGATGCATTGGCTGGCATGGATGCATTGGCTGGCATGGATGCATTGGCTGGCATGGATGCATTGGCTGGCACACCAATATACCACAGTCGTAGCCGTTTGTCTGACGCGGCATCCGCCATGCTTGCACGGAATGTATTTTTGAGTCCACTCAAAAATAGACCAATAGACCACAGTCGTAGCCGTTTGTCTGACGCGGCATCTGCCATGCTTGCACGGAATGTATTTTTGAGTCCACTCAAAAATAGACCAATAGACCACAGTCGTAGCCGTTTGTCTGACGCGGCATCTGCCATGCTTGCACGGAATGTATTTTGAGTCCACTCAAAAATAGACCAATAGACCACAGTCGTAGCCGTTTGTCTGACGCGGCATCTGCCATGCTTGCACGGAATGTATTTTTGAGTCCACTCAAAAATAGACCAATAGACCACAGTCGTAGCCGTTTGTCTGACGCGGCATCTGCCATGCTTGCACGGAATGTATTTTTGAGTCCACTCAAAAATAGACCAATAGACCACAGTCGTAGCCGTTTGTCTGACGCGGCGGCATCTGCCACGCTTGCTTGCACGGAATGCAGATGCCATGCCTGCAACACACGCGACCGAATGCAGATGCCACGCCTGCAACACACGCGACCGAATGCAGATGCCACGCCTGCAACACACGCGACCGAATGCGTGTTTTGAGACGTCTCAAAACAAGCAACACACGCGACCGAATGCAGTCCACACATCCCTGGCTGGCCGGCCCCACCAAATGCAGATTCCAAGCAACATCTGCCACGCCTGCGCCAGTCCACACAAACCCCTTCTCCACCCACCTTCTTCAGCCCATGGAGTTTGTTCTCAACGCACTCCGCCAGTCCCGACAGCCCCGGCCCCACCGCCGCTGTTGGTGTTGCTGGTGCTGCTGTGTCACACTGACCTCCTCATCTCACCTTCTTCCACCCCCTTCATCTCACCTTCTTCAGCCCATGGTGTTTGTTCTCAAGACACTCCGCCAGTCCTGACAACCCAGGCCCCACCACTGTTGCTGCTGCTGCTACTGCTGCTGTTATACCCCTTCGACCCCTTAAACTCTTCGCCCAACCAACACCCCCTCCATCTCACCTTCTTCAGCCCGTGGTGTTTGTTCTCAAGACACTCCGCCAGTCCTGACAACCCAGGCCCCACCACTGTTGCTGCTGCTGCTGCTGCTGCTGTTATACCCCTTCGACCCCTTAAACTCTTCGCCCAACCAACACCCCCTCCATCTCACCTTCTTCAGCCCGTGGTGTTTGTTCTCAAGACACTCTGCCAGTCCTAACAACCCGGGCCCTGCCGCTGCTGCTGCTACCACACCCGGTGAGGCTGGGGCAGGGATGGGTTGAGCTGTTGCAAACAGATGAAACAGAAAAGACGGGATGGGGAGTGGGAGTCAGGAGAATCTGACGCCTTGATAGCCCCGATTTGGCTGCTGTTGCCACCACCCCCGGAAGGGCTGGGCTGTTGTTGGGGCGCATGACGAGAGGAGAGGTGGAGTGGGGAATGGGTGGTGTGGGGAATGGGAGTTGAGATAGCTCGATAATTAGGTAATAGCAGAAGAAGTAGCTTCAAGTCGACTTTTGAAATGTCTCAAAAGTGGAGAGAGTTCGACACTTGGGTGATAGCAGAAGAGGTAGGATCAACTCGAGGTGACTTTTGAGTCGACTCAAAAGTCACCACAACACTTCAGTGACAGCAGAAGAGGTGGGCCCAACTCGGCTGCTGATGGCATAGCAGGCAGGCAGCCCGATTCTTGAGACGTCTCAAGAGTCGATTCGGCTGCTGCTGGTGCTACTGTTTTGAGACATCTCAAAACACTTCTTCAAACACAGGCAGCCCGATTCTTGAGACGTCTTAAGAGTCGATTCGGCTGCTGCTGGTGCTACTGTTTTGAGACGTCTCAAAACACTTCTTCAAACACAGGCAGCCCGATTCTTGAGGCGTCTCAAGAGTCGATTCGGCTGCTGCTGGTGCTACTGTTTTGAGACGTCTCAAAACACTTCTTCAAACACAGGCAGCCCGATTCTTGAGACGTCTCAAGAGTCGATTCGGCTGCTGCTGGTGCTACTGTTTTGAGACGTCTCAAAACACTTCTTCAAACACAGGCAGCCCGATTCTTGAGACGTCTCAAGAGTCGATTCGGCTGCTGCTGGTGCTACTGTTTTGAGACGTCTCAAAACACTTCTTCAAACACAGGCAGCCCGATTCTTGAGACGTCTCAAGAGTCAATTCGGCTGCTGCTGGTGCTACTGCCACAACAACTGGTGGGTTGAGAAATTGCTAGAGGGGTGGAGAAGAAAGGTTAAGGGATAGGTAGCAGCACACAGGGAGCAGGACAGCACATCGACGCTAGTGGTACAAAACCTACACCAATTGAAAGGGATGCCGAAAGGTTGGATTAGCACGAAGGGGATGTACCTTGAAAGGGTGTGCCAGCTGTCAGCAGGCGAGTGGTTCTGCTGGAATCTCCTGCTGTCAGGTTGCCTATTGCCCGAACCACCTGCGTCGAGCGTGGATTGGTTGAGAGCGGTTGGAGAGACAGCAGCACGTGCCAGGGGTCAGAATAAAAGTTACGTGGTATTGATACGATATGATGAGACTTTTGAGTCGACTCAGAAGTGACGTGGGATTGATAATTGATACGATATGATATGATATGATGGACGCATGGGTTGGGATGGGAAGATGGCAAGTGAGAGTGGGGCGACAGAAGCATGTGCACCAGTTGATGCTAGCGAGTGGCTAGGTACTGACATGACACGCGCACGGCACGGGTACATGGCAAGGGAAAGCCCCGAAATAACATGGCATGGCATGGCATGGCATGGCATGATATGGCATGGCATGCTATACACAAGGACATGCAAATACATAGCCCATGGATCAGTTATTGAGACGTCTCAAAAGTCAACTACACGGCCCATAGATTAGGCCTGATAGACGAGTGACTGGGACGACTTTTGAGGCGCCTCAAAAATACATTAGGCCTGATAGAAGAGTGACTGGGACGGCATAGGCCTCTACGAGCCCGGCGGCGACTAGCGGACTACTTTTGACGCGCCTCAACCCTGGACACAGTGACTCAAGCATGGGCCGAGGCATATACAGGAGTGAGCAGGGCGACGTCAGTGGTAGCAGATCGCAGAAGCACGAGGGCCTTTACCAGCCCGGCAGTGACGAGCAGATGAGGACAAGGGAAGATGAGTGGGGGCAGGGGAGGAGGTTGCGAGCATGGGCAGGGTGTATGTACAGGAGTGAGCAGAGCAACGTAAGAGGTGGCGGAGAGCAGAGGCACGAGGGCCTCTATGAGCCGGGTAGAATGAGCAGACGAGGACAGGGTGACTCAAGTCACAGGCGTAGTGTGTGTGTGGCACGTACGGGAGTGAGCAAGACGACATCAGTGGTGGCGGTGAGCAGAGGCACGAGGGCCTCTACCAGCCCGGCAGCCACGAGCCTCTCTGTGCTCGCGTCTGAGAGCGCTGTCACATACGCTGCTATCCATGCTGCCTCCACCGCCGCCTCTGCATTGCTGCGGGAGGCACAGGAGAGTGGGGGGAGAGCGAGAGGAGAGGAAAGTGAGGTAAGGAGGGACGCAGCAGCACTCGCGTCAGACAGCACTGCCACGTATGCCGCTACCCACGCCACCTCCACTGCTGCTTCTGCGTTGCTTGAAGGTTGGAGTTGTGTGGGAAGGGAGGCACAGGGGGTTGGGAAAAGAGAGGTGTAGGGAAGGAGGTACAGGTGGCTTGGGAAGGGCACAGGTGGGTGGGAAGAAGCACAGGTGGGTGGGAAGAAGCACAGGTGGGTGGGAAGAAGCACAGGTGGGTGAGAAGAAGCACAGGTGGGTGGGAAGAAGCACAGGTGGGTGGGAAGAAGCACAGGTGGGTGGGAAGAAGCACAGGTGGGTGGGAAGAAGCACAGGTGGGTGGGAAGAAGCACAGGTGGGTGGGAAGAAGCACAGGTGGGTGGGAAGAAGCACAGGTGGGTGGGAAGAAGCACAGGTGGGTGGGAAGAAGCACAGGTGGGTGGGAAGAAGCACAGGTGGGTGGGAAGAAGCACAGGTGGGTGGGAAGAAGCACAGGTGGGTGGGAAGAAGCACAGGTGGGTGGGAAGGGTAGCACTACTTGATGATCATAGAGAGAGCCTGACAATGCCTGACAGTGCTGTCACTCATGCTCTCACACATGCTACCATACATGCTGTCACTCATGCTCTCACACACGTTATCACACCTTTTGGCCCTCCAAACCCCAGCACACCCAATTCTCACTCACCCCTCCCTCCACACCTCATACACCCCTCCCTCCACACCTTCTACACCTCATGCCCTGGTACTCTTCACAACCCCTTTGCACCCCTCTCTCTACAGCACCCCTCCCCTACCCTGATGATAGAAGGGCCACGATAGCAGCATCCACACCGTCGGATTTCACCAGATCAACGGCTGCGCGGGGGCTGGGGCCCTGAGAAGGCGCACAGGGGAATGAGAGGGAGTACGATAGGGTGACACTTAGGCAGGAACAGGTCGAAGTGTCCAACGGATGGGCAGGGAGTAGAGCGCGCGCGTGGCACAGGCGGGGAGCAGAAAGAGAACAAAACAGAACATGGCACTGCCAGAGAGGGATTGGGCGGTGGCAGCAATATGCCAGGGCATCCTGCTGTCACAAATCTTGAGTTCTGCTGCCAGAGAAGAAATATGAAGGCGGTTCTGGCAGCAGAACTCAAGAGTTGTGACAGCAGGATGCCCTGGCTGAACTGAACGGTTCTTCTGCCCCCAGACCAGACTCCCCACAGCAGGCTCCCCAGCTGAGCTGAGGGTAGTGGCAGCAGCAGCGAGCAGGAGGTGAGGGAGAGCTTGCAGGGCGCCCTGATTCAACAGCTGAGAGAGCTACACAGGTGAGCCGAGCTGAGCCCATCAACCCACCGCCTTCCCCACCCACCCCTCCCAGCCAATCCCGAGCGTATCCACCTTGATGAGGGATGAGAGTGCCCACGCCACAGTCTTTGCCAGCGATGCCATGGCTGCTGGCGCCTGTGCTGTCAACCAGCGGCCCCCACTGCTGCCCCCTGTGCTGTGTCACCACCCCTTCCCCCCTCCCCCCACTGTTTCATGATGCAACATTTGTGAGAGAGCTAAAAGTGAGCCCGTCCCACCGCTCACCCACCTTGATGAGAGAAGAAAGCGCCCATGCCACCGTCTTTGCCAGCGATGCCATGGCTGCTGGCGCCTGTGCCGTCAACCAGCGAGCCCCCGTGCTGCCCCCACCAGCAGTGAGGGCAGAGGCAGCGGCGAGCAGCAGGCGGGTGAGGGCGGGCAGGGCGCCCTGATCCAGCAGCTGTGCTCGCAGGTCGTCCGCCTCTGCTGCTATGTTGCCCACCGCCCACACACACTGCTCCGCTATCGCTGGTGACGGGGAGTCTGTTGAGTGTAGGGGTGGTTGATTCAAGCGGGGGAGATAGGGGGGTGGATGAGGAGGAGCAAGGACAGAGAGAGGGGAAGGTCGTCTGCTTCTGCTGCTACGTTGCCCACCACCCACACACACCACTCCGCTATTGCACGTGAGGGGGAGTCTGAAGGAGCAAAAGGGGGGCAAGAGTAAAGGAGGCTTTAATGGGAGGCAAAAAATATTCAGGAAGAAATATTCAACGGGCAGGTTGAAAAAATAGGTTAGCTAAAGGGCGAGTGCGGGTGTGAGTGAGGGAGCAAATGAGGGAATGAGACAGTGAGTGAGTGAGCAAGTGAGTGAGAGAGTGAGTGAGTGGTGGTACCAGTGCAGTGGGCGATGAGCAGGGCAGCGCAGGGCAGCACGGCACGCGTCTCCTCCGCCTCCCCAGACGCTATGTTGGTCACACACCACGCCGCCTCTAGCAGCTGGTGGGAAGGGGGGTGGGGGAGACCGAGGTGATGGGGGAAGGTGACGGATGGGGGGAGATGGCTGGGGCAAAGTCTCCTCTGCCTCCCCAGACGCTATGTTGGTCACACACCACGCCGCCTCTAGCAGCTGGTGGGAAGGGGAACGGGAAACGAAACGTGGAGGGGGGGGGAGGGGGACAGAGTGGGGAGGGGAACACCAGAGTCAACTCAAGTCAACGCCGGTCACACACCACGCTGCCTCCAGCGGGTGGTGGGAAGGATAGAGATGAGCATCGGCCGGGGGAGAGAGAGGTGGTGGTAGAGAGCATGGGGCGGGGGAGAGCCAACAGCCTCCCCCCTCCCCTTCAGCCCCGCTTCACCTGATGCCTTGGTGGTCAGGCGGGGCCCCAGAGGAGGCTGTTGTCTCCAGGAGCTGGCGGAAAGGGAGAGGAGAGGAGAGGACAACACATTGATCAGTTCAAGACAAGTCAACGCATGTCTTGCTGCTCAGCGCAAGTCAACGCTCAGCATTCACCCGAGTCAGCGCAAGTCAACGCTCAGCATTCACCCGAGTCAGCGCAAGTCAACGCTCAGCATTCACCCGAGTCAGCGCAAGTCAACGCTCAGCATTCACCCGAGACGGCGCTCTACGGGAGTCGGCTCATCTTGCACCCCATTCTATTCTACTATACCCCATCTCTTCGCTTCGCCCCACCAACCAAACCAATCGACCGCGCACCCCCCCCCTCCCCTCCCTCCCTCCCTCCTTTCCCACCATTCTACCCCATCTCTCCTCACCTGCTTCTCCCGGGGCAGCGGGGCTCCAAGCGCCAGGCACTGTGACAGACAGACGGCAGAGGCACGGCACGGCACCGCAACGCACTTTTGAGTCGACTCAAAAGTCAACACAGACGGCAGAGGCACGGCACGGCACCGCAACGCACTTTTGAGTCGACTCAAAAGTCAACACAGACGGCAGAGGCACGGCACGGCACCGCAACGCACTTTTGAGTCGACTCAAAAGTCAACACAGACGGCAGAGGCACGGCACGGCACCGCAACGCACTTTTGAGTCGACTCAAAAGTCAACACAGACGGCAGAGGCACGGCACGGCACCGCAACGCACGGCAATCCAGCCCATCAATCCCTTCCCCAACCCATTCCCCTCCATAACTCTCCCTCCCTCCCGTTTACCCCCTATCCTTCCCCCCCATACACCCTCCTCTCCCACCCACAACCCCACCTGCTCCTCCGGAGCCCCAAACGCCAGGCACTCTGTCAGCAGGGGCACGGCGCTGCTACCACATCACTCCAACCACAACTTGTTCCACCCATTCGCTTCCCCACCTCATCCCTCCCTCCCACCCGCTCCCTCCCCAAACTCCCTCCCCACCTGCTCCTCTGGGGCTCCAAACGCCAGGCACTCCGCCAGCAGGGGCACAGCGCCGCAGCGCACGGCAGCGCCAAGTGGCGGGCTGTGATTGGCCGAGAGCAGCTGGCGCAGCGCCTTGAGCGCCTCCACCCTCTCCTGCTGCACTGCTGCCCCGCCCGCTCTGGCGGTGCTGGGGGTGGGAGGATGGGGATGGGGATGGGGGTAGCATGGGGATGGGGATGGGCATGCGGGTGGGGGTGGGGTGGGGATGAGGGCGGGGGTGAGGGCGGGGGTGAGGGCGGGGCGGGGGTGGAAATGAGAAAGAGTGGAGAGGGACAGCACGGTTTACTTTTGAGTCAAATCAAGAGCCCCTCTCGTGCTGTATGGCCAGCCCTCTTTCTCATTTCCACCCCCTTCTCAGTTGAAATCACTTTGGAGAATTCTCAAAAGTTCTCACAAGTGATTGCAATAGAGCCACTCTCGTGCTGTACGGCCAGCCCTCTTTCTCATTTCCACCCTTGCTCAGCTGGGAGTGGGTGGGTGCGAGCCCCGCCTCGTCCACCTGCCCCGCCTCGTCCACCTGCCCCGCCTCTTTCAGAGGTGACTCGAACTCGAACGCCCTTGAGCCTTTTAACCGCCTCCTCCACTCCACTCGCCCCTCCTCCTCCACCTGCCCCTCCTCTTTATGAAGCACATAAGCAATGCACTCACTCACTCTTCAAACGTGCCCTTGAGCGTGTTAACCGCCTCCTCCACGTCCACCCGCCCCTCCTCCGTATAAGGTGCCCCAAACCGCCACTCAATCTTCAACCATCGCTCACCCTTCAAACATGAGCGTCTTAACCGCCTCCTCCACGTCCACTCGACCTTCCACTCGTCCACCCGCCCCTCCTCTTGTTGAGGTGACTCGGCATTCACCCTTCAACCGTCACTCACCCTTGAGTCGCCTAACCACCTCCTCCACTCGCCCCTCCTCCTTATGAGGTGCCCCAAACCATCACTCAATCTTCAACCATCACTCAATCTTCAACCATCACTCAATCTTCAACCATCACTCACCCTTCAAACGTGCCCTTAAGCCTTTTTACTGCCTCCTCCACTCGCCCCTCCTGCTCCACCCGCCTCCTCTCCTCCTCCTCCTCGCCCTCCCCCTCCCTCCCCTCCACCTCCATCCCCCCCTCCAACCACCCCAACCCTTCCCCCACGGCGATCCCCTCCCCCCGCCTCATCCGCTTAGCACGCACCAGCGCCCCCCGCCTGTCCTTGCTTATCGCTGCTACCACTCCCCGCCTTTTTGCTGCTGCAGCCGCCGTGGCTGGGACAGGGAGGGGGGGGGGGGGGGACAGAAGTGGGGATGGGAGAGGGCAAGTCAGGAGCATCCGCTTAGCGCGCACAAGCGCCCCCCGCCTGTCCTTTGGTATAGCTGCTACCACTCCCCGCCTTCTTGCTGCTGCTGCCGCCGTGGCTGAGGTGGGACAAGGGGATGGGGGGTGATGATGATAAGGGAGAAGTGCGGTTAGAAAAGGGGCAATCCAGGAAGGAGCATCCGCTTAGCGCGCACCAACGCCCCCCGCCTGACCTTGACATAGCTGCTACCACTCCGTGCTGCCGCTGCTGCCGTGGCTGGCACCGACAAGAAGGGGGGGGAGGGGGAAGTAGAAGGTGGGTTGGGGGGTGATGACGGATGTGGGGTTGGGTTGGGAGGGAAGAATCAATGGCATTCCTTTAGTGCACGCCAGCCACATGATAATCACTTTTGAGAATATATATATATATATATATATATATATATATATATAAAGGATCAATGTCATCCTTTTAGCGTGCACCAGCCCCAACCCCGCCTGTCCTTGGATATCGCTGCCACCACGCCCCGCCGTCTTGCTGTTGCTGCCGCCGTGGCTGAGGTGAGGTGGGGAGAGGAGAGAGGGCGGACGGGTTGTTTACAAGGAGGAACCCGGCGGCAGCAACAGCAAGACGGCTGAGGAGGGAGTGGGGTTAAAAAGAGGTAGTCCATGCGCAAAAAATCAGAAGCGAGGGCTTCTGAAAAAACCCGCGGCAAGGGAAGGTTGGGGGTACGGGGTGGAAGAGGGGAGACATGGGAGAGCGGAGAGGGAGGAGGGAGGCGACGAAGTGCCATGGCATGCTCCTACTGCTGTGGTGTGGCTGGTGGGACCCATGGGGGAACTGGAGGAAACTGGAGGAAACTGGGAGAGCGACTTTCGAGGTGCCTGAGAAGTTGCATCTGCTGTGGCTGGTGGGATGCGAGCCATGGGGGAACTGGAGGAAACGGGGAGAGCGGAGAAATAAATGAGGTCCGGTGGGAGGGATTTTTTAGGCGCCTCAAAAGTGTGTTAATCTGCTGCGGCTGGTGGGAGCCATGGGGGAAATGGAAGAAGAACGGGGAGAGCAGGTAAATGAATGAGGTCCGGTGGGAGCGACGCGTCGTGAAAGCGTCGTTGCGTCGTACCGGACTGCTTAAAAAGATCGCGCCGATTCGCATGACCGTGGAGATGCGTCTGCGACGGCGACGGCGGCCCGTGCGACTGCATGGCGACCGAGCGATGCGATGATTTCTACTCAGGTTGAGAAAGCGTCGCCTAGCGTACAGGACGACTGAGGTCAGCGCACTAGGAATCTAAAGGAAAGACATAAAGACACAAATCGCGTCTACTAGAATATGTCCTCCCGTATCGCCTCTTCAACTCCGCCTCGTCTCATGGCTCCCTGTTTTTGGAGACACGAAGATTCTGGTGTCAGCAAGTCAGGCATGGCGGCCAGCTGCACTCGGATGCCCCCATGACGTGACTCTTTGTTCGATATAGAAACGAACATGCGTTATGTGTAGAACATGATCAGGAAATCACATATTCTGGAAGAAAATGTTTAGTTCATGCAAATCTCAATCATTGCTGCATAAAATTAATTTCCCCGGGTATGAGTGGAATTTAGAATTTTCGAGTCGATTCCAAAGGTATGAATGGTTTAATTACAGATTCTGATGATTCTTATTCCATAAAAACATTTGCTACCATAAGGACCTGAATATCTGTGGAAGCAGTGTAAAAACGGAGAGAATTACTGTAGAACCTGGATCGGTGATTCATTCTTACTCGCGTGGCCTCGAATTACTCGAGTGGCCACCAAATTTGGTAATAATTACGCGAGTGGCCACGCCAGGGGATTCCCGCTGGCTTTTTTTTTCCCGGCGCATTACCCTACACGGGTTCGCATCCCCGAAACCTCTGTACTGATTAATTATAGTAAGATCGCGCATTAGTCAGTACAGAGGTTTCGGGGATACGAACCCTTGTAGGGTAATGCGCATGGTTAAAAAAAAAACAGCGGGAATCCCCTGGCGTGGCCACTCGAGTAATTATCACCAAATCTGGTGGCCACTCGAGTAATTCGAGGCCACGCGAGTAAGAATGAATCACCAATCCAGGCTCTACAGTAATTCTCTCGTAAAAAACACTCGCCAATGATTCGATCTACAGAATTTGGCAGACGTGTCACGGCTCGTCGCATAACTTCTGCCATCACGCTTCGCAAACCCGACTGTACAGTTTGGTTGCTGCCACCACGAGACTGAAACTTAACAAAGCAGCGAGCCGTAATGAATGGTGAAAGCCACAGTAAACAGCGAGATCCAGTCGGAACATTGCCTCGTACATCCGCCAAACATTTCAAGTTTCGAATTTTTGAAACCGCAAAATTCTTTATTTTCTGCTTCTGTCCTCGGCGCTGTTTGTTTGCATCAATTTCGCGCCATTTGCCAGCACCACTCTTGCCCCCCTCCCGCCGAGGGCAATCGTCACCCGCACGAGTATTTGCCATCCAACAATGCAAATCCGGCTCTCTCGAGTCTCGCCTCAAATTCCCAGGCATGCTGGGGCTCGCTTTGCATTCATCAGCTTCACACGTTGAGCTTGAAAAAAAGGTGCTCGCCTCGAGGTGAGGAAAGAAGTCGGGGCATTGGATGCAGAGGACGATGACTTCCTGGTATTTCTAGACTGCTTCTTCCAAAGTCAAAAAGTTGCGTCGTCAGATTTTAGTAGGCGCGTTTAACAAGTTTTGATTTCCCCCGCTAACGAAACGACTCCATTTTCAAGAATGAACGGCGCCGCGGATGGAGCGTGCTCGCTGCAGTTCGACGCGGCGACGACGAAGGAGTTCCTACGGCTGCATCGCGTGCTGATGCGGCAGGACGCGAGCCGCACCACGAACGCCGACACGCTGTCGTGGCTTTTCGACGCCGCCAAGGCGCAAATCGACGAGCTGGCGTGGCGGGACGGCAAGCGCATCCGAATAACAACGGATATTCGTAATTGCGTTCACCGTCGCATCAGTGCATCCGAATGACGACCGGTATTCGTAAGCGTGTTCGACCGAGGTGACTCACATTAAAAAAAGTACTTTAACTAATTTAAGCCTTTTACCGTCTCACTAAGCCTAGAACATCTTGAATCAGCGAAACTTGTCGCGCTCTCCCGTTCGACGTTTTTGTTTATCCCTCAATTCTAAAGCTTCATTTCCAACCGTTGGAGGGTAACCGGTTCTGAAACCTTCGTCCCCGTTCGCGAATCTTCGTATACTTTAGAAGGAATGAGAGCCACTCTTCAGCCGTGGCAGGGTCCGCCCTCCGCCATTCACGCGACATCTATACGCGCATTCGCTGTCGAAGAGTTTCTTTTACCCCACACCTACCTGCTTACCATCTTGTCCCCACGTTCGTTTCGTTTCGATCCCCACTTATTGCCCCATCCCCGCGTTCGTATCGCCCCATCCCCGCAGCTGACATTGCGGACATTCTCCCCGCGCCCATCTGGCACCTCATCTTCCGCCTCCTGCTGCTATCGTCCCCCCCATCCCTCGCCCCATCCCCGCAGCTGACATTGCGGACATTCTCCCCGCGCCCATCTGGCACATCATCTTCCGCCTCCTGCTGCTATCTTTCCCGCCATCCCTTGCCCCCGCAGCTGACATTGCGGACATTCTTCCCACGCCCATCCGGCACATCATCTTCCGCCTCCTCCTGCTGCCGCCCGCCAGCCCCGACGAACCCGCCGACGCCGCTGCCGCCGCCGCCGCCGTCGCCGCAGCAGCAGCAGCAACAGCAGCGGCGGCAGCAGGCACCGGCGCCGCGAGGAGGAGCCACGCCAACCACCGCCATGCCACGTCGAAGCAGCAGCGTCGGTAGCAGCGGCAGCAGTAGCAGCAGGTGAGGCTACAGCAGCAACTGCAGCTCCAGCAGCAGTTGGCGCAGCAGCAGGCGCGGCAGCAGCAGCAGGCGCGACAGCAGCAGCAGGCGCGGCAGCAGCAGCAGGCGGAGAGGCGGGGCGCGGTGGTACCGAGGGACGCGCGGAGCACGTGGGGCGAGCAGCAGCGCAGCAATGCCGCGAGCTATGGCCCTTCGTGGGCGCTGCTGTGCTGCGCGCTCGCCAGCAGGAGGCTGCTGCTCCACGTGCTCTCCTTCTCCGTGAGTACCATCCTCTCGCTCTCCACACCCTCCACACCCTCCCTCCCTCCCTTCCTCCGCTCGTCAGCAGGAGGCGGCTGCTCCACGTCCTCTCCTACTCGACCGATGCTCTGTCTGCTTTTCTTCTGCTGCTCTCCTGTTGCCTTACCAGCGTTTTCCTCCACTGTTCCGAAGTTCGCCGCCGTAGCTCCTTGATCTCCTAGATTGATGAACCGGCTGTGCGTTGAATTGCTGCTCAAGCGCTGCGTTGCGTTGCTGGAGTGACACGTCTCTCTTGTCTCCCTCGCTTCAGATTCCTCTCTAATATTTAGACGCCCCAAAATCTTGACCGACCTGAGCGTTGAAGCCGTTGTGTATTGATCTTCTGCCCAGACGTTACGTCTCTCTTTGTTCTCTCACCTCGGAGGCCTCCTCTCCCTTTCCGAGCCCCTCCCCATCCCCTCGTCCTCCCTCCTCCCCCTTCCCCCTCCTGCTCGACCCTTTCCCTTTCCCCAACCTCACACACCCCCTCCTCGCAGGCAAGCACGCCTACCGCCCTGGCGATCAGCCACCGCCACCCCGAGTGGAGCAAGAGCGTGCTCTACCTCCTCCGGTGGCCGCACCACCAGCTATCCCTCGCCTTCACCGCCCCTCCCCACCTGCTCTCCCTCGGCCCCCACATCGCATGCTCCCACCGCACCCTCTCCTCCCTCTCCCTCAAACTTCGACGCACAGTAGACGGAGACGAGGAGCAGGAGCAGGAGCACGCACAGCAGCACTGGTCCCTTGATTTCCTCAAAGACTGCTCGCAGCTGCAGCGGCTGAAGCTGGGCCGCGGCAAGTGGGATCTCACCAGCCAATGCGCCGACGCCACGTGGACGAAATCCCTCCACTGCCTCACCATCAACGACATGGATTGGACCAGCCTGGACCTCGAATTCCTCAAGCAAATCACCCCGCAGCTTCTAGAATTCACGCTCTACGAGCCTGAGCCCTGCAGGCGCCTCGCACACGGCCCCCATGGGGCCCATTATGGCGGCTACCACTGCCTCTCCTTCTCTTTCTACGTTGCTCGCCTCCTCCGCTTCCGCTTCCCCCACTGCGACCTCAAGCCCAGGCTCACCGTCTCCCCCACGCTCAAGACCCTCTCAGTGGTGGCCAAACGGCTGGTCCTCTCCTGCAAGAGCATCGCCCCTCTCGATCTCGACCACCTCTCGTTGTACGGCCAGGATCGTCTCGTCATCCCCTCCCTCCGCCTCGCATTGGCACGAGTAGCCTACCTCAACGGCCCTGCGACCGATGAGTTCTCCTCCCTCTCATCCTCCCCTTATCTTCGCTTCTACGAGCAGCTGCCTCTGTACCTGCGGCACATTCCTCTTTCCCGGAGCAGAAATTCCTTTTCTTGGAGCACGTGGCTGCGTACGATTGCGCCTAAAGTGGAGGTGCTTGTAGTGAGGCACGGGGTGCCAATAAAGAGGGTGAAGGCGGTGTGGCGGAGCCTGCGCAGCCTCGGGATTGTCGTGGGCGGCAAAGTTTGTCACGACCCGGACTGGGAGGCTGCGGTGGATAGGTGCGATGAGTACGGAGGCGGTGAGGAGGAGTGCTTGCAGCAGCAACAGCAGCAGGGTTTAGGGTTCATCCCTCCCTCCCGTTCATCTCATCAGTTCGCCAGACGATCACCCTCCCTCCCGTTCATCTCATCAGTTCGCCAGACGATCACCCTCCCTCCTGTTCATCTCATCCGTTCGCCAGACGATCACCCTCCCCCCCGTTCATCTCATCAGTTCACCAGACGATCACCCTCCCTCCCATTCATCTCATCAGTTTGCCAGACGATCACCCTCCCTTCCGTTCATCTCATCAGTTCGCCAGACGATCACCCTCCCTCCCGTTCATCTCATCCGTTCGCCAGACGATCACCCTCTCTCCCGTTCATCTCATCAGTTCGCCAGACGATCACCCTCCCTCCCGTTCATCTCATCCGTTCGCCAGACGATCACCCTCCCTCCCGTTCATCTCATCCGTTCGCCAGACGATCACCCTCCCTCCTGTTCATCTCATCCGTTCGCCAGACGATCACCCTCCCTCCCGTTCATCTCATCCGTTCGCCAGACGATCACCCTCCCTCCCCTTCATCTCATCAGTTCGCCAGATGATCACCCTCCCTCCCGTTCATCCCCTCCGTTCGCCAGACGATCACCCTCCCTCCCGTTCATCTCATCAGTTCGCCAGACGATCACCTTCCCTCCCGTTCATCTCATCAGTTTGCCAGACGATCACCTCCCTCCCGTTCATCTCATCCGTTCGCCAGACGATCACCCTCCCTCCCGTTCATCTCATCCGTTCGCCAGACGATCACCCTCCCTCCTGTTCATCTCATCCGTTCGCCAGACGATCACCCTCCCTCCCGTTCATCTCATCCGTTCGCCAGACGATCACCCTCCCTCCCATTCATCTCATCAGTTCGCTAGACGATCACCCTCCCTCCCGTTCATCTCATCAGTTCGCCAGACGATCACCCTCCCTCCCGTTCATCTCCTCCGTTCGCCAGACGATCACCCTCCCTCCCGTTCATCTCATCAGTTTGCCAGACGATCACCTTCCCTCCCGTTCATCTCATCAGTTTGCCAGACGATCACCTCCCTCCCGTTCATCTCATCCGTTCGCCAGACCATCACCCTCCCTCCCGTTCATCTCATCCGTTCGCCAGACGATCACCCTCCCTCGCGTTCATCTCATCAGTTCGCCAGACGATCACCCTCCCTCCCGTCCATCTCATCAGTTCGCCAGACGATCACCCTCCCTCCGGTTCATCTCATTCGTTCGCCAGACGATCACCCTCCCTCCCGTTCATCTCATCAGTTCGCCAGATGATCACCCTCCCTCCCGTTCATCTCATCCGTTCGCCAGACGATCACCCTCCCTCCCGTCCATCTCATCCGTTCGCCAGACGATCACCCTCCCTCCCATTCATCTCATCCGTTAGCCAGACGATCACCCTCCCTCCCGTTCATCTCATCAGTTCGCCAGACGATCACCCTCCCTCCCGTTCATCTCTTCAGTTCTCCAGACGATCACCCTCCCTCCCGTCCATCTCATCCGTTCGCCAGACGATCACCCTCCCTCCCGTTCATCTCATCAGTTCGCCAGACGATCACCCTCCCTCCCGTTCATCTCATCAGTTCGCCAGACGATCACCCTCCCTCTCGTTCATCTCTTCAGTTCTCCAGACGATCACCCTCCCTCCCGTCCATCTCATCCGTTCGCCAGACGATCACCCTCCCTCCCGTTCATCTCATCCGTTAGCCAGACGATCACCCTCCCTCCCGTTCATCTCATCAGTTCGCCAGACGATCACCCTCCCTCCCGTTCATCTCATCAGTTCGCCAGACGATCACCCTCCCTCCCGTTCATCTCTTCAGTTCTCCAGACGATCACCCTCCCTCCCGTTCATCTCATCCGTTCGCCAGACGATCACCCTCCCTCCCGTTCATCTCATCAGTTCGCCAGACGATCACCCTCCCTCCCGTTCATCTCATCAGTTTGCCAGACGATCACCCTCCCTCCCGTTCATCTCATCCGTTCGCCAGACGATCACCCTCCCTCCCGTTCATCTCATCCGTTCGCCAGACGATCACCCTCCCTCCCGTTCATCTCATCAGTTCGCCAGACGATCACCCTCCCTCCCATTCATCTCATCAGTTCGCCAGACGACCACCCTCCCTCCCGTTCATCTCATCCGTTCGCCAGACGATCACCCTCCCTCCCGTTCATCTCATCCGTTCGCCAGACGATCACCCTCCCTCCCGTTCATCTCATCCGTTCGCCAGACGAATCATGCTCCCTCCCGTTCATCTCATCAGTTCGCCAGACGATCACCCTCCCTCCCGTTCATCTCATCCGTTCGCCAGGCGATCATCCTCCCTCCCGTTCATCTCATCAGTTCGCCAGACGATCACCTTCCCTCCCGTTCATCTCATCCGTTCGCCAGGCGATCACCCTCCCTCCCGTTCATCTCATCAGTTCGCCACACGATCACCCTCCCTCCCGTTCATCTCATCAGCAGCAGCAGCAGCAACAAGCACTCCTGCCTCCGGTTATCAACGCTCCAAATCTGAAGTCTTTTTTCTTCCCTACTCGCAGGCCCTATGGCTCGCGCGCCCTTGCTCGCCTGCGCATGAGCTTCCCTTCCCTGGCGCTTTTCTGTGTTATCGACCGCTCGTACTTCTGGGAGCGGAAGGGGATGAGGGTGATGGGTGGGCCTGTGGTGCACGTGAGGCAGGAGAAGAGTGGCGTGCTAAGGTGTCGCTTTGGTGCGAAGAAACTGGCGAAGAATGTGAGGGAGAAGATGCACAGTGTGAATGGTGGGCTCGTGGAGGGGTATATTGCGGAGGAGGATGAGCGACATCTCCTGAAGTACCAAGGCCGATCTTAGTGGCGTGCTGCGGTGACTCTTTGATGAGAAGAGGCATGCAAATAAGATGCAGAGTGTGAATGGGGTGCTCGTGGAGGGATACAGTGGGGAGGAGGATGAGCGCCATATCCTGAAGTATCAAGGGAGAAGTTAGCGGCGCATGCCGCTGTTTCTGAGTTTGGTTTGCATTTGATGTTTAAAATGTCTGAGTTTGGTGTGCATTTGATATTTATGATGTCTCAGTTTGGTGTGCATATGATGTTTATGCTGTCTGAGTTTGGTGTGCATTTGATATGGTATTCATGATGTCTAATAGCGTATTCCTGTCCTCGTATGAAGAGAACCTCATATCAAGATTGTACTTTTTGCCTGGTAAAACTAGCGAGAGGTTTTGGGTTTAGGGGAATTTTCAGTGGGAGGTTTGATATGAGGTTCTCTTGATACGAGGATAGGAACACGCTCTAAGTTTGGTGTGCAGTACATTTTATATTTATGATGCTTCATGGGGGTGGAATGGATGTGGTTGGAATGGTGCAGCAGAAGCACTGTAGTGTAGAATGCTAAATTATCGTTTCACCTTGTTTGTTTGTTCCGTCCGACAGCAAATGCTTGAAGACTGCAATTTCTATGATACAGGAAGAACACGTAGAAGTGCAGAAGCCAAATGCGTACTGCAAAAGGCTCGAGCCCAACCACTTCACACATGGACCACCACAAGCAGGTCATAGCTGCTCACCCTTTCAGCGGGCATCCAACTCGTCACTTCACAACCATAGGTTAGCCTATGGGGTATTGCAGCTACTCCAGTGTCAAACCAGAACTTTGAATGTGCGTAACGTAAACGTGACTTGCTTCAGCCAGAACTGCTTACAACACCTTCCACAACTGGCCACCACCATCAAGCAAACACAAACATCATCGCACGAGACGAGAGGAGAGGAGAGCAAACCCTGAATCATTGCATTGCAGACTCCTTTTAGAGTCCTGTCACAATCGGCCTACTTCTTCTTTGACCGCCTTGGGGGTTTAGGCAGCCCCAACCCAACTACGAGTGATGAGCCGATTTTTGAGTCGACTCATTGCACGAGAGGAAAGCAAACGAATCATTGCACAATCGGCCTACATCTTCTTTGAGCGCCTTGGGGGTTTAGGCAGCCCCAACTGCCCCCACTCTGCCAGCACCACATCTCGCTCCTGCTTCAACTCCGCTGCTGCCCCCGCATCCCCCTGCGCCTCACACGTCTTGATCAGAATCATGTACGCCGCATCATACGGCCCCGCCCGTGCCTCCCTCATCCTTCCCAGCACCTCCCGGCCGCTCCTGTGGTCCCCGGAGCGGCAGTGAGCGGCGAGCAGGGCAGTGTAGGTGGGCGAGCAGGGGGGCATGCCGTCCTCGTCCTGTGTGGCCTGGAAGAGCGCCTGTGCGTCGGTGATGCGGCCGGCCAGCCCCAGGCAGTTGATCATGCGCGCACAGAGGTCCGCGTCGGGCTTGTACCAGTGCTCCGTGCGCACGTGCTCAAACACCTGAGAGAAATGCAGGTGGCATGGGGGGTGGGAGGTGGGAAAGCAATGCGGAGCCGCAGTGAGCGGCGAGCAGCGCAGTGTAGGTGGGCGAGCAGGCGGGCATTCCATCCTTACCAGTGCTCCCTGCGCACGTGCTCAAACACCTGAGAGAAATGCAGGTGGCATGGGGGTGGGAGGGAGAGATGCAGGCGGAGGGAGATGTTTACCCTGAATGGAGGGAGTCGTAAGTAGGAGCTTTGTGGGGGAGGCTTTGGCGGAGGGACGTGAGGGAGGGAGGGTTGGAGGAGCGGAAGAGGGGTTTATGGGCTTAACAGCTGTAGAAAAGGCCAGCGAAGAACGAAACACGGGAGAAACGAGTACATGGAGAAACGAGCACATGGAGAAACGAGCACATGGAGAAACGAGCACATGGAGAGAGAAGATGTAATATGGACCCACAACGGGAACTCACTACGTAAAAGCTTGCGCTGAAGAAAGGGACATATGGAGGGAAGGGACAGGGAGGGTGGTATCGTAGACAAGTGTGCATCCAGAAGAACGATGGCATAAGGAGGCATGACAGGGGTGTAAAGATTGATATGAAGGGAAGCATTGAGCATGGGTACAATGATTGATGCAACGTATAAATGTGACATGGGAACCGACCCTCGGACACAGGGAGGGGTGGGAAAGTGGGGAAGGTGGGGGGGGGAGAACATAGTGAGGGGAATGACATTGGATTAAACATGAGAGTGCTGCTGTGGGAATGGTGCTGCTGTGGGAATGGTGCTGCAATCGTGTGCTAACACTCGCAGGAAATCAAGTTGACATCGTGGTAGGAAGTAAACCCTCAAAGAGATCTTCTTCCCCACACACACCAAAACCCTCCCCACATACACCAAAACCCTCCCCACGCACACCAAAACCCTCCCCAAATACACCAAAACCCTCCCCACACACACCAAAACCCTCCCCACATACACCAAAACCCTCCCAAACCCTTCACGTTCCCAACACCAGTGATCATGACAGGGAGAAGACTCATAGTCCTTTTGTGGCAAACTCTATTAGCAACTGCTCGTTCTTCTCTGTTCGATTGGATGCTCTCCGTCTCCCTCTTTTCTCTACCACACTCCGCCATACTCCCCACGCTTCCAGGTACTACCCACCCATCCGTTCCTACTGTTCCGAAAAATCTTTGACCCCCTCACCGTCACCTCTCTCACTCTCTTTCTCACCCGCGCGGCCAGGCGCCATTGCTGTTGGCGCTGCAGCTCCTGCAGGGCCAGCAGCATGCCGGGCTTCACCAGCCGCGCTACCTTGCTGCGCATCAAAAGCCCCCTCACCGTCACCTCTCTCGCTCTCTTTCTCACTCTCTTTCTCACTCTCGTTCTCACCCGCGCGGCCAGGCGCCATTGCTGTTGGCGCTGCAGCTCCTGCAGGGCCAGCAGCATGTCCGGCTTCACCAGCCGCGCCACCTTGCTGCGCATCACCGCCTCCACGCGCGGCCCGCACACCCACCGCTTCCCCGCGCCCGCGCCCGCGCTCCCTGCCTCGGGTGAGGTATCAGCGCTGGTCAAACCGACCTTCTCTTCCTCCTCGCTCTCTTCCAGTTCCCCCATTTCCTCCTCCTCTTCCTCCTCTTCCTCCTCCCACCGGCGCTGCTCGTCTCGAGCGTCCAGCACGGCGGCCAGTTTCAGCTCTTGAACGGCGTCCACCGCCTCTCCAGCCATGTTGCGGCTCCGCCACAAGCTCTCGCGCTTCGACGCGAACAGCGTGTGTGTGGATCGCCGAAATCCTTCATGGCGAAAGATCGGCGGAGAGCGCAGTTTTAAAGTAGCTGGCAAAGGCTTTTGAGTCGACTCAAAAGTTGAAGTAGCTGGCAAAGGCGACAGTCTATTGATGATGTTTGCCGCCGGCGACGGACGCTGCGATGGGCTGACTGAGCCAGTAGCAGCGCGACATGATGGCGCGGCACGAGGATGCTGAGCAGCGGCGGAAGGGATGGACAAGACACGAGGACCGGGGTTCCGAGGGGTGCTCCGCGGGATGCCTCTGAATATTCTGGGATAATGGCCGGCGATTAGCATGCTGCTGCTTTGGCTCCGACAGCAGGCACTGGATTCCCAGGCTTCTAATGGCTGACAAGTGGCAGCTGCAACGGTCTCATTGGACAGACGTTTTTTTTAGTAGTTTTGAGGCTCCTCGGAAATTGCTTCTAAGTGGCTTTGAAAAATGTCACACGCTTCGGTCATGCAACTGGTGGTTCCGCCGCTAGCAGCTATTACGCGTCGACATGATCTCCTTTCTACCTTGTTGGCTCGCGTCCTAGTGAATTGAACTGCAGATACCGTAGCCAATAGTAGAATCCATCTCGTCGCTGTTGTCGAGATTCTCAACTTCGCACGCTCAACTCGAAAGGTCTTGGTAACCTCCACGCCACGCACTGCTAGGTCTACGAGGGAAACCTCGTATACCCGTGTTAAGGTGTCTCAATTCACGGCAAACCAACCCCTCCGTCGCTGAAATCTTAAAACGCGGCTTCACGTTGTACACCACATATTATGCCCACCGTTGCCACCCCCACTGGTAGCATCTTTTGTAGGGCCTCAAAAGTCACCAGCATGATCATCAGTTGCCCCAGCTGTACACCACATACTATGCCCACTGTTGCCGCCCCCACTGCTAGCACCCATCGCCATCCCATTGTTACGGGACTGCTGTGCACCACCACCGGTGCACACCACCCCATGGCCACACTATTGCCACCACTGCTATCATCACACATAACCCTTCCTGCTCGTCCCTGCACACAAATGAAGCCCTCACACCAGTGAACATTGGTTCCACTCACTCACTACCCCAGCCACACTGTCCCTTTTTCCTCCCAAAGCATGTAGAGGCCCAGGGAATTTAAAAGAACCCTCATCATGCCCTAATCTGATCATCCTGCCTGCACCATGCCCTAACCCATGGCATGGGGAACGAGATCTGACCCCACGCTATCGCTGTGACACAATCTGGCCCCATGCTATCACCGTGAGGTGATGTGACCTCATGGTACCGCTATGACACGGTTTGACACCATGCCACCACAATAACACGCCCTCACACCATGCCACCGCAATAACACGATCTCACACCATGCCACCGCAATAACACGACCTCACACCATGCCACCGCAATAACACGGCCTCACACCATGCCACCGCAATAACACGGCCTCACACCATGCCACCGCAATAACACGACCTCACACCATGCCACCGCAATAACACGACCTCACACCATGCCACCGTAATGACACAATCTGACCCCATGCTACCACCATGACACGACCTGACCCCGTGCTACCGCTATGACACGTTGTGTTCCCATACTAACCTGCCACGCCAATCCGACCTCACTGCCCCGCTCCTCTCACACCCGCTATCACTACCGCGCCAGCGGACCGCTGGATCGACAATCCTGTACGATGCCAGGGAAGGGAACTGCCTGCGCAGAGCATCCGGAACGCCCGGCTGCCACTCCTCAGTGGCATAGTAAATGGACTCCAGGTTCGGAGCATCGATGTATGTGTTGCTGCTGCTTCCGATGATGCTCCCTTCTTCCCCGCCGAAGAACCTCCAAAACCGAGAGTCTTCCGGATCCTCCGGGTTTTCGCAGTAACTAAACCCCCCAGTGCTATAACGGTTCACACCAACGCTGAGGTGGCGCAGCTGGCTCCACTGCAAACGCACGCCCTCCAGTGGCCAGCCGTACCTCGTTTTAAGCGTCTCCACTGTGGACGCTATGCTACTGAGCAGGTGGGTCAAGGCGATCTGAGAATCATCATCAGAACAGGGAAACACACGCCAGCGATTCGCTCGGAGGCTTGCACCGCTCAAGTAGACGGATTTTGCGGCGGACAATGGGAGCGAGGAAACGAGGAGCTGCGAGTAGCCAATGAGAGAGAGCGAGTCGAGAGAGGGAGGGCTGGGGGAAGTGCAATCCACGTTGAGACACGCCGCAGTGGCCGAGAAGGACTTCAAAGAGGCAGGCAGGGCGCAGCGGAGGTGCAGTGCTTGCTTCTCAAAGCAGAGCGTGATAGTTCGAGCAGCAGTGAGCTTGAAATCGAGGGCGAAGGGGGGGACATGGCTGGAGGAGGCGAGAGCGATTTCACGCAGCTGAGGTGTAAGGGATGCGAGAAAGAACAGAGCGTTTCCGTCGCACACGAAATCGTGGACGCTCAGGCTCCTCAAACCCCGGAACCGCGTTGGATTCAGGCCGCCTAGTTGCCACGTCCCGCGACCCAGCTTCAGCCGTTGCAGCGGGAACTAGCGCGGGTGGGTTCGACTCTCTCTCTCGTGGGTTCTCCAGCGGGAACTAGCGCGGTGTGCATGATGACTCACGAAGACGGAGGAAGGGGGAGGGGGAAACGCATGATGATGACTCACGAAGAAGGAGGCGACATGATAAAGGAGCCTCTTGCAGACCATGGCGCAGCGCAGCAGAGGCCAGCAGGAGCCGAAGGTTCTCAAAGCCTCCGCTTGTTGCTGCTCCGTGATGGAGGCACTTCCTGCTCCCTGTTGCGATGCGCCCGCGGAGTTACCCAGGTTCTGCAGCTTATTCTGCAGCTTGTTTTTGAGTCGGCTTAGCAGACGACTCCGACTAGGAGTCCCTGCGGCAACCGGCGACGCACTGCCTTCTCCTCATCCCTGCTGCGATGCGCGGGGGGAAGAGTTACCCCTGCCGGCTTCGCAGTTTATTTTTGAGTCGATTCAAAAGTCGAGCGCCACGGCAAGGTCTGCGTCCCTGGAGAGATGGTGGCAGCAGCAGGAGGCAGAAGATGATGTGCCAGACGGGGCCGGGTAGCAGATCAACCACGTCCACGATCTGGTGGGTGAGGGAAATTTTTTGAAGATGAAAAAGAGAGAGATATCCGTTGTTGGCCAGCACTTTTAACAACAAAAATGACGGGATCAGGAAGGTCAGTCTCGGCTTCCTGATCCCGTCCGTTAGGGTTCGTTAGGGTCCGTCAAGCAGGTTAGCCCGCGAAATTCTTGCCGAGCCTATGATTCCGTCCGAACCAAACGGAATCATGTTGGCCTGTCGAACGCCCTCCTTTTCATTCATTTCGAATGGAATCGTGAAGGTAGGAAAGTGGGTCGGGAGCTTCATCTATAGGCAAACGTTGGTCCCGTTGCCATTCCATCGCCATATACCCCCCCAAGCAGAATTGCCTTGGAATGGCCATGGGTTTGGAAGGATGTGGAGGGGGGGAACGAGGAATTGGAAGGATGTGGCGGGGGGGAATGGGGAATTGGAAGGATGTGGAGGGGGGGAACGGGGAATTGGAAGGATGTGGAGGGGGGGAACGGGGAATTGGAAGGATGTGGAGGGGGGGAACGAGGAATTGGAAGGATGTGGAGGGGGGGAATGGGGAATTGGAAGGATGTGGAGGGGGGGAATGGGGAATTGGAAGGTGGGGAGGGTGGTTCCTGATCCCGTTGCCACCCTTCCCCTTTCTGGCGCGAAATTTCGCGATTTGGCCATTCCCCCCACGCCTATTCGGGAGGTTCCTCCTCTGGTTCGTGATTCCACGGCCATTCCGAGGCCTTTCTTTTTTTAGATGTGCTGGCGAACACCGCCGTAGAGCGCGAGGGTTAGGCTGTTCCTTTGTCGTTTCCTAAGGAGGGTGTGGTGGTGCGAATCGAGGGAATTGGCTGGGAAACATCGTGGTGTGATGTCTCGCTCTCTGCGACATCACTCGCACCTCATGATCATCATCATGTTGATTCTCCGCATCAGAGGATGCTGGTAGTTTGAGAGCCTGAATTCTCTTCAGCACCTCATCCCCATGGGGTGCCATCAGCGCCAACGATCATCTACGCGACGCAGGCAAAAATGCTGGCAAAATGTTGGCGTTCGGCTCGAATACATGAGGCTTCTAGAAAGCACAAATGACTGGAAGCTAATTCGCTGGAATGGATACCAACACCAATACAGGAGGCCTTTTGTTGAGGGGGAGTTGGGAAGGGGTTTGTTACTCTGGTTACAGGGATTTTTTCGCGGCTCACTAAGGTTGCGCGAAACCAGTCGCGAGTTTTTTCGCTATCGCTGAACTAGGTCTTGTATTGAATCATGGCAAATGCTCTGGTCCGACTACGCCTTGTCGGACCAAAGCAATTGCTGCACAGACTGTTAACAGGAATGGAGTGTCGGCCCCGCCCTCGCTTGGGCAACGCCGACGACTTGGTCGGATTTACGGGAGTAGCAACCGACCGTTCACAGTGGGAGAGCTGCTCGACAGGCTTCGTCGAGCTGCAGGGGACCGCTGTGGTGTTGCTGTCGACTAGGGAGCTCGACAGCTGCAACTGACTGGTCTGGGCGACGGGTGGGACGTCGACCAGGACCTACAGCTCGACCGGGAGGTCTCCGGAGCATCCCGTCGACCTGCCGTTCGACCGGGAGGTCTCCGGAGCATCCCGTCGACCTGCCGTTCGACCGGGAAGTCTCCGAAGCATCCCGTCGACCTGCAGTTCGACCAGGAGGTCGACGGAGCAGTCTGTCGACCTGACAAGTGAGCAGCGGTCGACGAGGGGAGCTCGGCGACAACCACTGATGGTTCTGGTCGACGGAAGGGGTCCGTCGACCAGGGGGTAGCTCGACGGGAGTTGTGGTCGACCAGAGGGACCTGGTGGTCGACCAGAAGCAGTGGTGGTCGACCGGAAGCACCTGGTGGTCGACCGGGTCGACCGGGTAATCTGCTCGACGAGTTTTGCGGAGGCACGCGAACGTCGTCGAGGTTGCGATGGCGCAGGCGACTGCGGGCTGGTATCCCGGAGTCGATATGGCTCGTCAGGCGCAGACAACAGCCGACGAATGCCCAACGAGGCAAGTCGGGCCAATCGTCTGCGCACACCTGCGAGCGTGCACACTGCTGTGTTCTACGGGGCAACGCTGGACAGCCGCTCTGCTGCAGCGTTAGCACGCCGTCGACCTGCTCCATTGGCAGGTCGCCTTTCTGCAGTGCTGGCGCGGCTCCTCTACGCAACGCTGGCAGGCGATCGACTGAGCTGTGCTGGCGGTCGACCAGGCTAGCAGCAGGGTTGCTAGGTGCCTGATGTAGTCATTGTTGTTATTGCTTGTTTAATCATTCTGGAATTCCAACTTTGCTAGTGAAAACTCTTGCCGATTTCTCCCGTGAATGTGCAAGCACTAAGGAACCAAGCAAAGCTACGATCACCTCTAGTAGTTCGTGCCAACCCCCGTAGTCTAGCTCACTACCGTTGTAGAGTGACTCTCCGCATGGTGCGGTGAGCGTGGATCGAACACGCGACCTTCAGATAGGAGCCGACTTTTGCACCTACTAAGTCGTTCGTAGGCCGGCAGTAGCGATAGTCGCCATGGTCGACCCCGTAGTTGATGCGGGTGTAGCGGACACCTTGGAGGCACGTTTGGCTGACGCGAGGAGACGCGACGCGGATGGCGAGTACGGGACGATCCCCTTGGTGATCGCCGAGTTGGCCATCCGGTCGCAGTGGGCGACGGAACACCCTTCCCGTCCTGCTTCTCCTCGACCGGTGCGCAACGAAGGTGGCGTCGACGACGAGGTCGACGGTGGTGCACGAGTCAGCGGCAGCGAAGGCACGAGGCAGAGAGGAGTGATCAAGGTCGACGGTGGTGTCGACGGAATCTAGGCGCGAGTGCAGCGGTCGACGGCGGCTGCAGGGAGCTCGCGTGCCGACGTCGATGTTCGACGCCGTTCTCCTCCACGAAGTGGTGGAGGGCTCTCGGTGACGACACACGTGACGGCGGGCGGGATTGCACCGGCGTATGGCTACTTCAAGTTCTCGCCGGACCGGATCACCGTCGCACCGCTGCAAGGTCGACGGGACCTCATCACCTGGAGGGAGTCGATTGAACCTCAGCTAGAGGTCGCCGGGATGAAGGGCTTCGCCGATGGCACCGTGCCATTTCCGCCCGAGGAGGATGTCGAGCTACGCGGGGAGTTTCGTTCTGCTCACCTGCTCAACTTCATGGTCATCTCGAGGTGCTGCTCGCGGGTGGTGCAGCTAGCGCTCAGGAGCTGTCGAGAGCGACTGGATGCTGGTCACCAGGCATGGCACTTGAGACCACACCCCAGTTTGAGACTGCATTGCTGCTTTCCTTCTCGTTCCCCGTGCAGGCCTGCATCCTGAATTTAGCAGAGTGAATCCCTTCTATTCATACTTTAACTTTCTCCCTTCCCTTCCCCCCTTTCCCCCTTTCCCCTTCTCCCCTCCTATCATTCTCCCCTTCCTTTTCCCCTTCTCTTCTTCTCCCCATCTCCCCTTCTCTCCCTTCTCCCCCTTATCCTCATTTCTCCGCTCCTCCCTTCATCCCCTCTTTCCTACTCCCTCCTCTCCACGCCAAAACAACAGCCTACAATAGGTTTAAATTCTCTCTGCAGAGCTCCTAAGCAACTCAAGTGCGGGCGATTCAAGTGCGGGCCATTCAAGTGCGGATGGGATGGGATGGGATGGGATGGGATGGGATGGGATGGGATGGGGTGGAGTGGGGTGGGGTGGGATGGGATGGGATGGGATGAGATGGGGTGGAGTGGGGTGGGGTGGGGTGGGGTGGGGTGGGGTGGGGTGGGGTGGGGTGGGATGGGATGGGATGGGATGGGATGGGATGGGATGGGATGGGATGGGATGGGGTGGGGTTTGGTGGGATGGAGTGTGGTGGGGTGGGTTCCGCGCTTCTCAGGGGTCGGTTGGCACACCAATTCCCTTGGCTCGAGACGCCCATGCTCAGACTCACTACCCACTGTCTGCTTCCTTCCTTGCCCTTCCCCGGCCCCCTAGCTACCCCCATAGGTGAGTGCGCTGCAGCTGATCTGTGTCGCAGGCACAGATGGTTATGTCGGGATATCACACTGCTGGCAGCATATGAGAGCAGCAGATTAGAGCACCCGCATGGCAGCACATGAGAGCACAGATGGTTATGTCGGGACACAGAGTGTACACCCTCACACTGCTGGCAGCAGGTGAGAGCACCGCCTGGCAGCAGATGAGAGCACCCGCCTGGCAGCAGATGAGAGCACCCGCCTGGCAGCAGATGAGAGCACCCGCGTGGCAGCAGATGAGAGCACCCGCCTGGCAGCAGATGAGAGCACCCGCCTGGCAGCAGATGAGAGCACCCGCATGGCAGCAGATGAGAGCACCCGCCTGGCAGCAGATGAGAGCACCCGCCTGGCAGCAGATGAGAGCACCCGCCTGGCAGCAGATGAGAGCACCCGCCTGGCAGCAGATGAGAGCACCCGCCTGGCAGCAGATGAGAGCACCCGCATGGCAGCAGATGAGAGCACCCGCATGGCAGCAGATGAGAGCACCCGCCTGGCAGCAGATGAGAGCACCCGCCTGGCAGCAGATGAGAGCACCCGCATGGCAGCAGATGAGAGCACCCGCATGGCAGCAGATGAGAGCACCCGCCTGGCAGCAGATGAGAGCACCCGCCTGGCAGCAGATGAGAGCACCCGCCTGGCAGCAGATGAGAGCACCCGCATGGCAGCAGATGAGAGCACCCGCCTGGCAGCAGATGAGAGCACCCGCCTGGCAGCAGATGAGAGCACCCGCCTGGCAGCAGATGAGAGCACCCGCCTGGCAGCAGATGAGAGCACCCGCCTGGCAGCAGATGAGAGCACCCGCCTGGCAGCAGATGAGAGCACCCGCATGGCAGCAGATGAGAGCACCCGCCTGGCAGCAGATGAGAGCACCCGCATGGCAGCAGATGAGAGCACCCGCATGGCAGCAGATGAGAGCACCCGCATGGCAGCAGATGAGAGCACCCGCCTGGCAGCAGATGAGAGCACCCGCCTGGCAGCAGATGAGAGCACCCGCCTGGCAGCAGATGAGAGCACCCGCATGGCAGCAGATGAGAGCACCCGCCTGGCAGCAGATGAGAGCACCCGCCTGGCAGCAGATGAGAGCACCCGCCTGGCAGCAGATGAGAGCACCCGCCTGGCAGCAGATGAGAGCACCCGCCTGGCAGCAGATGAGAGCACCCGCCTGGCAGCAGATGAGAGCACCAGCCTGGCAGCAGATGAGAGCACCCGCCTGGCAGCAGATGAGAGCACCCGCATGGCAGCAGATGAGAGCACCCGCCTGGCATCTCACTAGGCCGTGCACCCGATTCTACTGGATGTGCTTGTGGAGGGCGCAGGGATCAACTAAAACGTGCACAAACAAGCTGCCAGCTGAGCAGATGATTTCTGGGGAGCATGAGTACGGGCACTTGAGACTTGCATGTTACCTATGCCCACACGTGTGCTATGTTTCTTTCTACAGCGGAACATATGGGTGGGTGAGCTCTAAGTGCGCAAACAATCGAGTTAGGGCGTGTTCCTAACCTCGTATCAAGATAACCTCGTATTAGGCTCACACTGAAAATTCCCCTAAACCCAAAACCTCTGGCTAGTTTTACCAGGCAAAAACAGTATTCTTGATGTGAGGTTTCCTGATATGAGGCCGTAGGAACACTCTTAGAGTAGGAAAATATTACGGTACCTCTATGCAAGAGAATTGGTAGGGATGGCAATGGGAAGTAAAGCGAGCACATCGCTAGACATTGATACCGGTACACTACATCAATACATTATAACCAGCCCTCACGAAGTCCTCTGCTTTACCGTGCTCAACTGGTCTAGCAAACGCACTGTGCTCTGGCAGCAGACAACAGCAGGCAGCAGGCAGCAGGCAGCAGGCAGACACCAGACAACAAACATTAGGATCTGCCATTATGCTATGACACACAGCACCACAGCCACAGAAGCACCGCAAATGCCCACCACTGCCATCCCCACGGCGAGCCTCATCGCCATCCCATTGCATCCTATAGTCATACCATCGCAATCCCATTGCCAAGGGTTTGCTTACAGTGCACCACACAGGTGCACACCGTCCCGTCGCCACACCCCCTTATGGTCAAACCACCCCATGGTCACACCATTATCACCACCGTTATCAACACACACCACACTTCCTGCTCGTCCCTGCACCCACCTCCCTCACAAATGCAACCCTCACACCTGGTTCCACTCACCCATTACCTAACCACCTCCTTGCATCTTCGCGTTCATCTGTACCTGAACAATCCCGCCCCCTCTCCTTGTCAAACTAAATATATGATTACTACGCTGTAGCGAGGTAAATCATACTGCGGCTGTCATACTTGTATCTCATCCTAAGTATCTCATCCTGCCTTGTCACACTCACCTCAACCTAATTCCAGAACACCTTAAGAAACTCAGTGGCATCGTAAAACGACTCCAATTTCGGAGCATTGATGAGCAAGCCGCTGGTGCTGCTGCTGACGCCGCCCTCCTCTCCTCCCGCACTAATGAACTTCCAAAATTTTGAATTTTCCGGATTGCCCGGATAATATTTGTGATTAATCCCCCCACTCCTCTCTATACCGATGAAAACGCAACGAAGGCGGCTCCACTCCACATGCACGCCCTCCAGAGGCCAGCCGTACCTCAATACAAGCATCTCCACTGTAGGCGCTATGCTGCTGAGCAGGTGGGTCACGGTGCGCTGAGATTCGAGATCGGAACAGGGAAAACCACGCGACTGGTTTTCTCGATTGGCTGGTCCGTTCAAGTAGACAGATTTGGCGGCAGCCAATGGTAGTGAAGAAACGAGAAGCTGCGAGCGGCCAATGAGAGAGAGCGAGTCGAGAGAGACACGGCTGTTGCATGTGCAATCCACGCGAAGAAACCACGCAGTGGCAGAGAAGGACTTTAAAGAGGCAGGCAGGGCGAAGCGGAGGTGAAGCGATTCTCCCTCAAAGCAGACTGTGATAGCTCGAGCAGCGGCAAACTTAAAATTGAGGGTGGTAGGGGAGGTGAGGCTGGAGGAGGCGAGAGCGAATTCATGCAGCTGCGGAGCGATGGATGAAAGAAAGGGCAGAGCATTCCTCTCGCGCTCGAAATCGTGGATGCTCAGACTCCTTAAAGCCTGGAACATTGCAGGATTCAGGCTGCCTAATTTCCAAATCCCATAACCTCCTAGCTCCAGCTTCTGCAGCTGCTCAAACTCCCCCAGAAATTCGGAATGCAGCAGCAACTGCCCCCTAGGGATCATTTTTTTGTAAGGTTTCTTGAGCCCAAGGGACAAGGTTGTGAGGGAGCGCGCAGAGGGTCCCAAGAGACGGCCGAGGCAGTGCAGGTCCTGAGAGCTGTTGAGAACGACATTAAGGGGCGTGTGAGGCACGTGCCTGAGAAACAAAGAGAGTGTTCCTGAGGGACGTGTGAGTGCGGGGTCTTCGGAGTTGATAGTCAGCTTCATGGGCTCGAACTCCTGCTCGTACAAAGAGTGACAGAGAGATGGACGGAGAGATGGACGGAGAGATGGACGGAGAGATGGAGAGACAGACCCATGGAGAGATGGAGATGGCGATTTGAAAGGTGCTTGACTTAAGATTCAGCTGTATGTTGCTTGGCAATCTTGCTCAGCGTCATTGGCTCGAAATCATGCTCATTCGCAGCTACGGACAAGAAGACGGTTGAGGAGCATAGCCGTGACCGTGACCGCATCATAACTCAGCACCCAGAGAAGAATTTTACCATGGATTACGGGGAGCAATGAGAGACTCACGGGGAAGGAGGCGACATGGTGGAGGAGCCTCTTGCAGACCATGGCGCAGCGCAGCAGAGGCCAGCAGGAGCCGAAGGACGCGTCTCCTGCTCCTCCCTCCTGCGACGCGCCCGAGGAATTACCCCAATTCTGCAGTTTCTTTTTCAGTCGACTCAGAAGTCCACTCCCAGTGGCACCCGGCGAGGTGCTGCCTCCTCCCTCCTGTGATGCGCCCGAGGAGTTACCCAGACTCTGCAGCTTCTTTTTGAGGCGACTAAGAAGTGATGCGCCGGAGTCGCTGCCTGCTCCTCCCTGTTGTGATGCGCCGGAGGAGCTACCCAGCAGCAGGTGGCGGAAGATGATGTGCCAGATGGGGCCGGGCAGCAGATCAACCACGTCCACGATCTGGGTTGGGGAATGTGTTAAATTAACAGAAAGAGGGAGAGTTAGAGAGCGAGGATACTACAAATCCATTGTCTTTTCCTAAGGAGGATGTGGTGAGAATCGAGGGAATCGGCTAAAAATGTTGTGATGTTTCACTGGCTGCGGCATCACCCTCACCTCATGATGATTCTCGGCATCAGCGGGTGCTGTAAGACTGAGAGCTACCTCATCTCCACGGCTACCCATCACCGCCAACGATCAGCTACGCAACCGCCGGCGAATAGGCAAAAGAATACAGGAGGGTTTTGGGAAATTACGACAGGAGATTCACAGAAGCCTTCTGAGCAAGAAACAGCACTGTTTGGAGCAGCTCTGTTTGAAACGGCTCTGTTTGAAACGGCTCTGTTTGTTACGAATCCAGCAGACTCAAGCAAGCCCAACTCAATTCTAGGTGCATGATATAGGCTAGCGGCGGTAGGCCAATGGCGGTGAACTGAGTTGTGTTGCTCGGCTTTCAGTGGATTCGTAACGAAATCTGCTGCTGATCCTACACGTCGCTCGGGTTACTATCCTCCTGTCACGCAATCATGAAGCACTCCCTCCTCCGGACACCTTTGTGGCCCGCGCTCTATCACTCGCTGCGCCGGCGAGGACAGGCACTTCAAGGATCGCCTGCAGCGCATCGCCGATCGCCTGAGATGTAATTTGTCAGCCAGGTGAAACGCATCCATACCACCTGTTTCGAAAACCAGTCACTTAACTTCCCAAGAAAGGAAAGGCGGAAACTGAAGTTCCCGAAGGCTGGCTGGCTGGCTGGCCTCGAAGTAGAGGGTAAAACAATGTATGTATTTGCTGAAAACCCTACCCAACCCTCCGGTTTCTAAATTAGACCGCTTTGGTTCAGGTCCAAACCTTTATCAATCCCCATCGGACGTTCTCTTTGGACCCGCCCTCACAAACATGCAGCAGAGTTGGAGAGGGAGGTTTGCTACTGATGGAATGCTTGTGGCCAAGCAAGACTTGATCGAGTGGTTCTGAACTGTTCAGATCTCCCACGACACGTAGGCTGGGATGGGATGATATAGCTCAGCCGACAAGCGACCCCGCCCGGATGAGCTCGCTGCTCGATGGGATGGGTTTTAGTTTTTTTCTGCCCGTCGGTGGGGTCGACGGTGGTCGACGCTCCGTCGACCACCGTCGGACCCCGTTGGGTTGAGACATATAGGAAAATCTCATTCATTGTTAGCAAGCCAATAAGAAGGCTGTAATTCCCCAAAATTTTGGGCATTGCAACCAATCATCGAGCCCACCGACGCCCAAAATCTACACCTGGCTGTAAATGGTAACCAGGGCATGTTGTGCCCTGCTATGACTTCCGCGTCACAACAAGCCGGTTTCCGCGTGTCAATCTCCAAATCCCTAGCTCCTCCCTTTCTCTGCGACACGTAGCGAAACAGAGTAATTCACACGAAAGTCCAACTCGCAGATCCCAGAGAAGAGTCGCAGACCAGACCAGACCAGACTAGACTGCCCCTCCCGAGAACAACTACTCTTCTCGCCACCGTCACATGCGCTGCTGGCGTTCGTCCTCGTCAAAGCCATTCCCTCCCTCAACCCCGTCCCTCCTCATCTCTTTTCGTTCTCAGCTGACTCCGCAATGGCACGCACCGCGAACACCGTCGCCCCCCACCATGCCTTTCAGGGCAACGGGGAGGGGACTGCCATAGTAATAGAGGTAGGAAAAGTAGGCCAAGAACTTCGATGACACGCGTGCACTGCACGACAGGCAGTCTCCCATGCGCCGCTCGGCTCACAAGCTTTTGATCGCTCAGGAGAGGGTTGGAAAAATGCATTCTTGCGGAACCAGACGCTATTAATGGTAACCACTCAAGACCATTCAAGACGCGAATCGCAGAAGCCCGTCGCAAGAACAACACCGCGTTCCGGTACTGACGCCTATCCGTCACGCGACGTGAGAAAAAACGCTACAAAGTCACTCGAGTAGACGGGCGATCATGCCGTGCCGTCGCCTTTAGATGCGGCGGTGTCCGACTTTCCCGCTGTGCCTCCTTATCCTCTGCCACGTGGCATCCACGTGTCGTGCGTGTCTACCGCCTTTGTTCACAGCAGCAGCAGACGGTACCCCACCAAACCCTAATTCGGACCGGCCAAGTGAAGAGGAAAAAATTGCCATGGCTCGAATCGCAGTGGCACAGCACAACGCGGCCAAGGTGAGACTTGATTTACTCTCGATCATGTGTTGAACTCAAGCTGACTCGCCGTGATTCGTGTTTTGAGTCGACTCAAAACTAAAGCTGACTCGCAGTGATGCAGCATAACGACTCTTGAGGCGTCTCAAGTCAAGCGTTGTACTCTTGAAGCCAAGCCGACTCACCGCGACTCGCAGTTCGAGGCCACGGCGAGGCAGTCGACAGGCGACAGGCAGGCGACAGGAGACAGGCGACAGGCGACAGGCGACAGGCGACAATCATTGTCCCAAGAGCACCACTCTTGAAGTCTATCCAGCTGAGGGTCCATTCTCCTCCTCCTTTCCCCTTCACCCCTTTCGTATGAAATCTTCCGTTCTCCGCCTTTTCCCTCTTCCCCCTATCCTCTCCTTCCCTTCTCGCCCCGGCCCCCCGCGCCAGAACGGCAGCCTAGAACCGATCAGTCTGGCGCCAGAGCGCGCAGGCAACTGGAGAGCAGGCTGCTAGTCCGAGGAGTAACGCCATTCACTGCCGGCACTCCCCCACTTCCCCTGCCGCCCTGCCAGAACGGCAGCCTAGAACCGATCAGTCTGGCGTGGGTAGAGCGCGCAGGTTACTGGAGCATCGGCGACTGGAGCGCAACCCACGAGGAGTAGCACGCCTCTCACTGACGGCGTTCCCCCCTCCCACCCTTCTTCCCCTCCCCTCACCCCACGCCAGAACGGCAGCCTAGAACCGATCAGTCTGGCGCGGGTAGAGCGCGCAGACGACTGGAGCGCGCAGGCCACGAGGAGTAGCGCCTCTCACTGACGGCGCTCAGCCTGCTGCGCGGCCGCACCGCCTCCTACGGCGCGCTCGTCTCTTGGAACCTTGCCTTGCCCGCGCAATCCGCTCCGCACTCACGCCTGCTGCCCTTCCACCACATGTAGGCGCTCCGGCCGCTCCAGCAGCAGCAGCAGCAGCAGCAGCAGGCCACAGCGGAAACAGCAGGGAGGAGGAGGTGGGGGAGGAGGGAAGTACAGCTTAAAGTGGTTCAGCATGCAGGCAGGGTCGGAGCATGTGAGCAAGAAGAAGAAGCAGGAGACTGCACTGAGGCATGTGGTGCTGCGGCCGACCGTTGCGTGTGGCTATGAGTTGACTTACATTGACCTGTCAGATGTGGACGTGCAGCGAGTGGCAAGAGAGGCGGTGGCCAGTGCGAATGAGAGGCGGGTGAGCGGTGGGATGGGGTGGGGTGGGGTGGGGTGGGATGTGGTGGTATGGGACGGGATGGGATGGTGTGGGATGTGATGGGGTGGGATGGAGTGTGGTGGGGTGGGATCCGCCCTTCCCAAGGTTCAGTTGGCACACCATTTCCCTTGGCTCAAGGCGCCCATGCTCAGACTCACTACCCACTGTCTACTTCCTTCCTTGCCCACTCCCCGCCCTTCTCGCTTCCCCCACAGGCGAGTGCACTGCTGCTGATCTCTGAGTCGCAGGCGCAGATGGTTATGTCGGGATACAGAGAGTACACGCTCACACTGCTGGCAGCAGATGAGGGCACCCGCATTGCAGCTCACTATGCCGTGCACCCGATTCTACTGGATGTGCTTGTAGCGAGGGCCAATGTGGTGGAGGGCGTAGGGATCAACTACAGCGTGACTGTAACAGCAGCAATGGATAGAGCACCTGCAGCAACAACACCTGCAGCAACAGCACCTGAAGCAACAGCACCGGCAGCAACAGCACCGGCAGCAACAGCACCTGCAGCAATAGCACCTGAAGCTATCAGCCGAGCCGACGATTTCTGAGGAGCTTGTTTTCTTTGGAAGAATGTCCTACGTAAGAATGTATGTGCACATATGGGTATAGAGGAATGTTATGTACTGTAGTGGTGGGTGAGCTCTGCGCAGCACTCAACCCAGATGCATCAATAAGCGAGTTTGAGAAGGAAAATAGCGTGAGGGATTATAATTGGAAGAGAAGCACGCAAAACACAGATAATCAATGTCAAGCAAAAACACACATCATCTATACATCAAATCAATTGATTACAACCAGCCCTTACGACGTCCTCTGCTTCACTGTGCTCAGCTGGTAGAGCAGCAGCCCTGTGCTCTGGCAGCAGACAACAGCAGGCAGCAGGCAGTAGACAGCAGACAAGCTCATCTGCCATTATGACACCACAGCACCACAGCTATAAAAGCACAACAGATGCCCACCACTGCCACCCCCACTGCTAGCCTCATCTAAATTCCATCACCACCCCATCGCCATCCTGTGGTCATCCCATCGCCAAGGGTTTAGGGTGCTTCACACAGGTGCACACCACCCCATGGCCACACCACCCCATGGTCACCCCACCCCATGGTCACCCCACCCCATGGTCACCCCACCCCATGGTCACCCCACCCCACGGTCACACCACTCCCATGGTCTCACCATTGCCAACCCAATTATCAGCACACACCACCCTTCCCGCTTGTCCCTGCACACACCTCCCTCACACATGCAACCCTCACACCTGGTTCGACTCACTCAAAACCCTGACCACCTCCCTGTGCCTTCGTTCAACTCTCCCAAACAATCCCGCCCCCCTTTCCTCCCCCACTTCTCAATATCAAGCAACCATGTGACATCGTGAAAAGAATCCAAGTTCGGAGCATTAATCAACAAGCCCCTGCTGCTGCTGCTGCTGCTTCTGAAGCCCTTTTCTTCTCCCGCACGAATGATCTCCCGAAAATCAGAATCTTCCGGATCCCCCGGACGAGATTTATAACGAATCCCCCCAGTGCTCTTACGATCTATACCAACGAAAAGGCGGCGCAGGCGGCTCCATTCCGCACGCACGCCCTCCAGAGACCAGCCGTACCTCAATACAAGCGTCTCCACTGTATGCGCTATGCTGCTGAGCAGGTGGGTCAAGGCACGTTGTAATTCGAGATTGGAACAGGGAAAAGCACGCCACTGGTCATTTTGGGTGCTAGCTCCGTTCAAGTAGACGGATTTGGCGGCAGCCAATGGGAGCGAAGAAACGAGAAGCTGCGAGCGGCCAATGAG